CTTTGCATTTCAGGTAAGGGTTGTTGTGAAGTTGTTGTTAAAGTTCATAGCATCTAATGTCAAGTTGTATGACCTCATATCCTCAACTGTGGAATATTCTTCTCTTGGATAGTATTTGCCATCTATGTTTATATGGTATTTAATACCAGGGTTGTAGAAGCAAGAATAGTCATTTTAGTTCGTCTGAACAGTACAAACATAGTATCTGCATGTTTCATTGCAGTGTTAAGGCAATATCTGTTCTTGCACCTGGGTCAGCACTTTGGTTTCCAACTTCACCTGCAAAGTCTTTGACAGATATTTGGTGTATAGGGAACATAAGTGGAACTGCAATATATTTGGCAGCTAAAGCATTTGAAATATCGGGTCCAACATATAGACTGCAAGTCTGCTTTCTATTCTCTTGCATTCAAATTTTTCGCATGTGAACTTAACTGGGTCCCAAGCAGTTCCAGCAGCATTGAAATAATAGTTTACTTCAGTGTTGAGGTTTGAAACCAAAGTCTAAGTCAACTTTGTCTTTGCAAAATTCGGCGAATGACGTTTGATTTGTTCCCTTTACGTCTGTAAGAGTGAATGGGTCTTGTGTTGGTGCAATGACTAAGTTATTTTTGCTTGGAGTAAGTTCGATAGAAATTTTTCCTGCCCAGTTTGGCAAGTATCTTAAAAACCTGAAGATGAGGAAAAGATGACAAAGGAACTCTAAGTTTCAATTTTACTTTGGTTACTGCTGCTGCAGTTTGTCCAGAAAGGTTAACATAAACTCCTGGAACGTTAGGGTCAAGTCTTCTTATTTTTCTCAATAGTTGCATACTGGTCTGTTTGTTCTCTCGCTTGTGGTTGTACTGAGTTTCTCAAAGCGAACCATTCATAGTTGCCCATGTTACTGTTTGAACTAAGTCAGAGTTAGAATATATCTTATATCCCATGAAAACTTCTGGAGCATATTGGTATCCGACATAGAAAATTCCATTGCAACCTTTCTTGTCAGACAACTTGGCAGAAGGTTTTATTTCAATGTCTTGTTCCACGTATAAGAAAGAGTTGTCATAGAAATAATATGAAACCTGTCGCATGCAATATCTACTGTTGTTGAAGAACCTTCTCCAAACTCACCTACGTTTCCATAAGAAACAGCAGTTGTATATTCGTAAGTTCCAGGAACTATTTCTGACCTTCTAATGGCATTGTCGCATTCGTTATACCATTCGGAAACATTTCCATTCATAGCATCCAAAACTGTTGGCGTTATATTCTGAGCGGCGTACATTTCATATGAGTAAAATATAGAATAGTTGGATTTATATGTCATAATAGAACCCACGTGGACCAAGCTTTACTTTCTTCCTGACTGAGTTTTTAACTCTTCTTTTTCCTTCATTGCCCTCTGCTTGAAGTTGTTGCATCTTTGCATTATGTATCTAGTATGTTGCAAATTTTCCATGCCCTTTTTGCCTTTGGACTCTGGTCGCCCATCTCAGGTAACCTATATCCTAGAAAGAGTTTGTCATAGTCTGTATTTGAGTCTTCGCGTATTGTTTGCATGACTCTTTCCTGAGTTTCCGGTTCAAGCTCTTTCAAACAGTGCCTGTCCATATGGAATATGCTCGTTTCCAAATATATGTTTTTGTAGCCATTCTGGTTTTCTTCCATGTTACCAATTATATCTTTTGTGAATGGAAAGCTTTTACCCAATCTTTCAGTCTTGCGTCGTTTATTTCTGTAGTTGGTTTTATTTTGTCAAGGAACATGTTTTTCAATACTAACATTTCATTTGGTACTGTCCATTTGAGTTTCTTAAATATTCATCCTTCTCAGTTCATTGTCTGCAAAGTAAGTTTTTATGACATTTTGTAAACTTTCGTTTGCAAGGTCATGTACAATAGGTTCTCTTCCTTCGCTCTCCCTAACTTTCTTTCTAAACTCTTCACCAAATATACCATCTCTATGGTTCTGTGTAGTTCTTTGAGATAAATGTTCTAGAACGTCAGGTGTTATATTTCCATCAGCCATGTTCATTTCATACTGGTCCAAAATATCTGCATGTTTCATATCTTTCAATGGCATTAAAGCCGCGCTTAAAATACCAGCTATATCTTGTTCACCATTGACTTCCATTGCGTCTACAACTTCTTGGAATTGAGGTTGTAAGTTTATGAACCACCTATCCGGTTAGCTTTATGACCCCATCTCATTGTAGTTCCATCGTCTGCAGAAACAAAGTAGGTTTGTTTCCATCTTGGTTAGGTTCTGAATGAACTTTAAAAATGTTTCATTTCTATATGTTTTCTTGAAATTTAACCTTTTATTTTCACCGAGTTCATCCGAAGATTGAACGTTAAATGCTCGTAAGTAAAAAGGGTTGTTGTTTTGTGTACATTTTTTTTCAGTTCTTCCATTCTATGCTGAATATTTTATCTGGTGTTGGAGTCTTTTGTAGTCGGCAAACATTTTTCGATATTTTCTACTATGTCAGCCGAATCTTTCTTAGACTCTTGGAAAGATTCCATATTCACTCTCATGCTCTTGTTGAGGGTCAAGATTTTTTGTGTTCCAAATCTTCATCTAGTTCTGTGAAGTTAGTTTCCAAAGGAGTGACTTGTTCGTTTCCTTCAGGCTCTTCTAGCTGTTGTTGCTGAACTATTTCTTCCATGTCTGGTTGTATCTGAACTAGTTCTTCCTGTGGAGTTTCTTGTACCTCATCTGCTGGCATTTCATATATTCCGAGACGTTTCAACAATTTCCCTATCTAGTCATCCGCATTCATAAGCCTTTCTTCTTTGTTCCGTCTCATTTTTACGCGTTTCATGACGAAAGTTGTATTGTCATTTAGCTCTGACATCAAATATCTCGGAGTAAATTCGTTCATGTCATTTGGATGATATGCTATTAAATCATATCCCTTAGCGAGCTTGTATTTTCCAGGTTTGAAATTATATCCCATTTGGTGCTGAGTCATAAAGCTAAATAGGTTCGGGTCAGTATTTCCTTCCTTGAACTTTCTAATAGCTTCTTTATATCTGTCACTAAAGTCAAGAGTATCTGGGAAACCACACTCTTCTTTAAGCATTTTTAAGAATTCTTGGTTTCCTTGTTCTCTACTTCTTTTATGTCCTTGCTCTGTTTGTGGAGGTGGTTGTTGTGCAGGGTTTTGAACTGTTGGTTGCTGTGCTGGTTGTTGTGTTGGTTGTTGTGCTGGTTGTGGAGGTGGTTGTTGTGCTGGTTGTTGTGCAGGGTTTTGAACTGTTGGTTGTTGTGTTGGTTTTGGTGCATGCCTGTGTCTGTGTCCATGTGACGATGTAAATGTTCTAGGTAGTCCTGGTGCAGGTGCTTCTCTTGGAGGGTTTGGTGGTATATAAGTTCCACCAGCTGGCACATATGTTCCATCTGCAGCGTAATGTCCTACCTGACTTTTCGTTTTTAAGAAAGCATTTACTAGGTCTGTTTTGGTCTGTTGTAACTCTTTTTCTTGACTTTTCACAACAGTTGCTCTAACGGCGTCATAGGCACTTTGAACTGCCTGTCTCGTTGCTGCATCTGTTATTTTCGTCATATTTTGTGCTACTTCTCTTAACTCTTTGTCGAAACCTTCAGACTTCAGTTTCTTTCCAGATGAGAAGTCGTTCACTTGTTTCACCTTACTATGAAGAGCTTCGAAAGCGTTCTTAAAGTCAGCATTTGTTAAAGCTTCATTTGAACTATCTTCATCCGCTTGTATTTTTGTCCTTATTGACCCTATGAGTTGGGCTGCTTTAGCGTTGGCTTGGGCATCTAACCAGTCATTGTTAGCTTTTATATATTCCGCGCTTTTCATTGCCTTTTGCATAGCCGCGTCGTTATTTTTACTTTCTTGTGCTAAGTTTTCATACTGTACGGTTTGGTTTTGCAACTGTAAAAGTTTTTCTGCCTTTACATTTGCTTCAACTTCTTTTTTATACTCATCGCTATCCATATATGTCTTCAGGGCTTTTTGTTTTATCTCTTCATCTTTCAGTATTTTATATTGAGTAGTATGGTTTTTCAAATTTATGACATCTTGTTCCATTTTTGCTACTTCTGCTGCTTTTTCTGACACTTTTTTCGCATATTCCTCTGTACTTAGTTCTTTCAGTTGTTCTTCTTTCTTCTTTTTCTCTACGTTTAACTCATTGAGTTTCTTTGTGTGTCTGTCATATTCTAGTTTCTTTTCGTTTTCACTTATTTGTTTCTGTATGTCTATGTTTGACTTTTTGACATCTGTTATTTGATTTTTGAGTGAACTCAAATTCATTTGACTTTGAGGGTTATAAGCTGTTCCGTCTGCAGCTCCACCAAAGCCTGCCATTTTCGCTAAAAGTGCCGCTCTTAAACCTCCACTCTGTGCACCAATGACTCGGTTTAAAAGCATAGGATTGCTTGACATTTGTTGCAACATAGTGGGGTCATTCAGCATTTGTTGTTGCAACTGTTGTTGTGGTGTCAGTTTTACTATTGGATGTTTCAATGCTCTCTTCCTCTTACGTATATTCTTACGTAGCTTACGTGGCATTTTAAGTGAAGTTAAAAAGCGGTTTTTGACAGATGTTTATATGACACTTTTTGTTCAGCACAAAAAACTACTCGGTCAAAGTGTTGTCAGTTTTGTAAAATAACCGTCCTATCTCATTCTATAAGGGGGAAAGTCTTCTCAAAGTATACTTCCTTGGAACGCCTGTAACTTTTCCTGTAGCGACGATAGACCCTTACTTGTCCAGACAAAGCTGTACTATTTTGAGTGCTCTACAAAAAAGTCAACGGCTACGACTCTCAAAAACCGTTGTGTAAAAAGTTTTACCGTTGGACAAAAAAGTATATATAGAAAACAAAAAACGTTTATAGTTCATTCAATATTTGAGATGGAACGGTTTGCCAACGGTAACTATTAAATAAAATAAAAAAATAGAGGGGGTTACCGTTGACGAAAACGGTTTATTTTAAACTTTTCTATGAGTAGTCCGAAAAAAACAGTTTATTTTTGTCTAATGGAAGCCAACATTAACAATTCTCAACCGCTAACCAAAGCCAAAGCCCCACAACCTCCAAGAACTGGCACAGCTGTTAGAATAACCGCCAAAAAGTCTAACAGCGAATTAAGAGAAATTCTTCAACAAATTTGCTCTAAATATCTCAAAGACGCCGAAGAAAACACACAACCAGACGCTATATACAATACTCAGTTCTGTGAAGTTCTGAACAAAGCAATTGCTAGTTCAATTGAACTTACTAAGACAATTCCAAGTCCAATTGAGCTTAGCGATGTCTTAGTTCAGTATTTCCAACATTTACTAAGCTTATAATGTTGAGAACTTTATACCAAGTTCGTCAAAATCTTCCTCGTAACATCCAACGGTCATTCGACAAGACAATTGCCGAATTCCAAGTCTTTAGTTACGGATATGACCAAGATGAATACATTGACGAGTTCGGAGACAACTGTACAAAATGGTTTGACTGCTATACGACTACACAATTTGAATTCGACTTTCTCGAATTCAACGCAGCAACCATTTATATCATTGCTCTTTACCTTTCCGAACAACAACAAGACCTCGCAGATGGAGATGTTGTTACTGTCGTCATGGAAACTCCTGAACAATTCGGAAAAAAGAAGTCTCTAATTGCCAAATTTGTTCCAGGACATCAGCTTTTCCAACGCACAGAAGTCTTCTGTATTCCTGGAACTAAGTTCTTTGTCAGGAGCGAACTCAAAGAAAGATATAATGTGTCATTCAATTACACATTATATAATGTCTTCGACCCAGAAGAAGACTTCTTCCCAGAAGCAATGGAGGAGGAAGAAGAGGAGGAGGAAATACAAGACTCAATCCAAGAAGAGTCCTCCGAATTCACACCAGAAGACTAACAATTTTCCGAATAAAAACCTCATTTATTCTAAACATCTTCGGGGCTAGAGGGCACGAAGTGCCTGGAAGCCCCACTACCTTTTTTTTTTTTTTTTTTTTTTTTTTTCTCAGTCTAATAAAATATATTACTGCAACACCCGACTTTGATTTAAGTGATTGAATTGAAAAAAATTCACTAATTTTCAGGAAGAATTTATATGTAAATTGTTTATTATAGTAAATTATTGGATTTATCTGGTGAATTTTGCTTCTTATTAAGGAAAAAGGCCTTAATTAAGCAGTAGTAGGATATGATGGGTTTTGTGACTTTTTTTGTTACATCTATATATAGACGATGCATTAAAATATATTTATTTATAAACCATTAAAAAATTAAAGTTATTTTAAAAATAATTTATTTTTTTATTCTTACATAAATGACCCAACAAGTAAAACCAGATAAAATAGATTATCGAATTTTAGAGGATGGTGTTCCTGTTTATATTCAAAGATTTAAAGGGAAGCAATATTATAGAATTGTTAATCCTGAATACATAAAACATTTATTTAAAAAGGAAGACTGTGAATTATTAAACGTTAATGAATATGAAACCAATAAATCAAAATTGAAATATAAATATATTGGAAGTGATGAAAGATGCAAAGATAAAGATAAAGTTTATTCAGTTTCATATAATGAATGGAAAACCAATAAGATAAGAAAACATTTAGGAGATTATGGGAAATATTCTGAATTCTTTAAATCTAGTATGTATGAGAGAGTAAAAGAAATCAGATATAATTATTTTCATGAATAAAAGATTCACTACCATAATGAAATAAAAAATAAAAAATTTTTAAAAAATAAACTTTAAAAATTCATGTCTTACATTTTTTGAATAATTTATTTTTTTATTTTGTATGAAATGAACAGCTCAAAATTCGTGACTGTGAATCAATTAATGGATAAACTTTCACCAATTCTCACCCAGGTTAAACAAGTAGACGTTTATTTTGATGATTGCGTACAAAGTTTATTTTATAAAGGTAAGTTTAATATTAAACCTATTGCTTTTGCATTTGATGGTAAATTAATCGAAAATTCAAAAATTTGGGAATTAATTCCGGATATTGAATTTATAACAAATATTAAGGATAAATGGTTTAAACAACAAAACCACCTCACTAAAGTTCTTTGTAGATTAATGATTAAAACTTAGGAAAAAGAATTTAACGGGTTTAAATATCATCCATGTAAAATTTTAGAACTTGGTAACGAAAAACTTCAGAAAAAATTAAACGAAAGACTATCAAAAGATAAAGTTGAAAGAGTAAATAAACTCGCTAAAGGTAATGGTAATGGTAATGATGAAGATGAATTTGATGAGTTCAACATTGAACTTTAAGAAACTAATGATTATTTGAATTTATGAAATCAATTATTTGATTCATTCTTTCTTCAATCTCTTCTATTCTTTTTGTTAAATCATCTATTTTCATTAATGAGGTGATTCTTGATTGAGGAATAGATTTCAAACTAACCACTCCTTTTATTTTTGAAATTTTGAATCCATCAACTTTAAACATTTTATTCAATTTACACGTTGTCAATTCTTCAAATAATTTTTTATTATTAGCATAATAGTCATTAAATTCTTCAACAGATGAAAAAATTTTTATTTCAGTAATTGGTTTAACAACGTTTATTTTTTGTTGAACATTTTCACTTTCATTTATTTCTTCCTCCTCTGTTTCATTTATTTTTAAAATCGGTTTCATTTATCATTAAATAAAAATTAGAATATAAGTGATGAAATATATTTTTTTAATTAATATTAAATCAGAAATGGCGGCAGGATTCTTTAAAAAATTATGGGATGGAATTAAGAAAGCTGCGGGTTGGGTTTATAAAAAGATTATTAAACCCGTTGCAAACTTTTTGGCACCAGTAGCGAAAACGGCAGGAACTATCATAGGTGGAGTATTAGGTACTAAAGCAGGTAATCCGGCGATGGGAGCACAAGCAGGTAACGCAGTTGGTGGAATTGCTGAAGGAATACTTAATAAAATAGGAGGTAGATAGTGGAAAAATAAATATGAGATCCTATGGATCATCTCGCCGCTTAGCGGCTTAAAATTATTTTTATCTTAGTATCGGTTGTAGTCTTTGATAAACTTTTTCTCCTTTATTTAAAACTTCTCTTATTGGGGCAGCTTTTGGTGTTATTGATTCAGCAACGTCACTAATTGCTTCTTTATTCTTAAATATCCAATTTGCCCCCTTCTTCAATGTTTCCCAAACTTTACTCGCTCCTCTTTTTACTCTATCCCACAGTTTCTTAAATATACCTGCAGCCATAGTTGATTATTTCATTAAAATTAAAAATTCATTTTCATCTTTTAATTTTGATTTTTTTAATGCATCGTCTATATATAGATGTAACAAAAAAAGTCACAAAACCCATCATATCCTACTACTTTAAGCAATATGCAACACCTGCTACTAAAGCAATTCCAAGAACTATACCAACAATAATAATAACAACTAACCACTTAAGGAATCCTAAATTAGAATCATCGCGAAGTTCATAATTTATTTTACCAACATATGTTTCGTTAAGGATGGGCACTCATAGGCTCCTGACAGCATAAAAATGTTATTATCTCACAATATAAAAGGAATCATAGGAATCTACAACTATATCTATATTGTTGGAAGACTTCTTAATGTATCATGCATATAAGTTATATCAATAACTCCATTATGTTATATGATTGTAATCATATTTTCGTTTCATGTTCAAAAACATTAAAATCATACTAACTATATGAGTATTATATTTAGGAAGCTGATATATAGATATGATAAAATGCTAGGTTTTGTGATTAAGAATATATACTTATCTTTTAGAAAATAATACTTTTATAAAAAATTATATCTTATATAATCTAAAAATTTTGGACAATTAAAAAACATTAATTAAAAATAGAAGGGGAAAGTGTTTATTCAAAGAAGGTGCAAGATTATGATGTTTTGAGGGTGAAATAAATTTAATAATTATTTATGTGATTTAAGAGTAATATGATCATCGGTAGCTTGAAGACCTCTCTTTATAGCTCTTAATGCCGCAAACTTTTTTTGAACTTGCTTTGAATTTTTGAATGCTTTGATTAAATCTTTTGTTGTATCATACATTCTGAAATATCTGTTCATCATTTCTGGCATTGTTGGTAAATTTAACCTGTATCTTATTGCTACAATTGTTTCAAACATACTTTCATTGAAATGCAATATTGTGACTGCCATCCTAATTGGCCAAGAAGCATGCCAATTAATATTTTTATTAGCAAGCATTGCTTTGATATGGTTTATCGATTCAACTACTTGAGTTGAATGAATCTTTTTTACCATATCAAAGATTTTTACGGTATCTTCGAGGAATTTTTTAAGTGTTTTTATAGCAGTTTTATTTTTTGCATATTTCCATGGTTTAATCATCTTGCATTTTTCAGGATCTGGACAAAATTTATGATTTCCGGCATAATGTTTAGCGGAATTCAACCATAAAAACTTCTTTGTTTTAATTGACATATGTGTGTCATTGAGAAGTTGCCTAAGCCAACGCAATAAATTCTTTGAAATGCTAGATAAGATTCTGAATTCTGGCAGTTTGAGCTTTTTCTGTATATTGTTAAGAAAATGTCCAGGATCTCTGTATTCTCTGATACCTTTGAACGTATTTTTGATTGTAGAAACAATTTTGACATCGCCATCATGCACAAAAAAATTTACACGTTTTTATTATTCAACGCTTCAGCATTCTTTTTAAGCCTTCAAATTCCATTTCATTTGATTTTCCGTTGAAATTACCTTTGAAATTTTTAAAAGATTTAGATATCACTTCCCAATCTACAATTTTTTTGAGTTTCTCTTCTACAAATTGTACATAGCAAAACATTGCATTTCTTCTCTGACTCCAAGAACCGTCAAACAAAAGTCCCGAACATTTTCTCATTCGAGATTTCCAATAATTAACAGATTCTCTGGCAACTTCTATGATAACACGACCAACCTTTTCTTGGACTCGATGAAATGTAGCTTCTGACGGAACTTTGATGTTATTCAGCATGAATTGAAATTCTGATTGGCAAAATGTAGCGCCGCTCAATAATACAGATAGCACAAATTCAACAGTGTTGACGACATATGGCTCTACCCTATTTTTCGCGTTTTGAACTAAGTTCTTTATACGCTTTGCAACTGCTTTTGTTCGCCGCGGCATGAAAAATGAAGAATAACTTGACGGTTTCTTGAACAAATGGTCGCACATTCAAATATTGTGATGTACGATCAGGATAAAAGAATGTTGTTGCCGTGAATTTAGAAAATAGCAAAATTTCAATTTACGCAATCGAGATATAACTTGATCGTTTGAGCGATAACCATGGCACCCATAGTATTAATGAAAGTACTCATACTTACAATTATTTTCTCCCATAGGAATATTGTTCAATATACTTCACCTATAGAGGAAATCTCGAAATAAAATCGAATTTTTTCAAAAATTACAAAAATCAATTTTTTACAAAGATGTTCGAAAAATAACATTATATACGCATCAAATCAAAGTATTATATGGAGCATTATAATTCTATATATGATTGTCCATCTTGCTGTTGTGCTATTTTTTTTAAACAATAATTTCATTGTTGAAATTAAATTTGCAATTTCAGTAAAAATTGCGACCCATCATTTTGAATATAATTGAATTAATACATTTATTGTAAGAATATTATATACCAAATATTAGACTTCCACATGAATCCTGGTATGATATTATAAGTATTGCAAAATTAGAAAAAAATATGCTCATGATATACTAAAATTCATGTTTCAAGGTTAACTTATAAATAAAATAAGTTCGAGAAATGCATCACTAAATATTTGAGCTTGTGCACTATAATGCTATATAATAGTCTTCACTGTTTTTAATATATTGACTTTGCTAGACTTGATTTTTTTCATCACCCTAATGAGTGCCCATCCTTAATACTCATAACATTAAAATCATTATAATCCTTTGTATTTCTAATCACGTATGGATAATCTGACTGTCCACCAACTTTAAATTTGATACTTGAAGACCTTTTTGGTTGATTAATCGAAACAACAACTACGTTTTCAAATTTATCTTTATGTGAAATCTCATTTCCATTAATATCAAAGTATTTTGCATATTTATCATCTTCTACTTCAATATCTCCATTGTTAGTTACTGCATAAACACAATACTGTGATGAAGAATCATATTTAACTTTATAATCAATCTTTCCAAATATTGTAATTACTTCTTTGCAACGTAAAAATTCAGAAGAATTCTTAAGAATGATAAAAGATAATGAGTTGTTTCCTGTAATTCTGATATAAGAATCACTCATAAATGAATATCCTAAGAAAGATGGTCTTGATGTAAATGAATCACATATGTAAGAATATCCTGAAAATGCTTTGATTGAAAGGCCTCCAACTTTAGTAATTAACATTACAGAATCTTTTGGAATTGTCAGAATATATTCTCCTTTTACATCAACGTTATATTTTCCGTATTTAAACTCTGTGATTTCATCAATAATTGCATAGCCTTCTACAAATGAATCATATTTAGAAACGTGATAAACATATGAGTTTGTTTTTTGAGTGTTATTATTTATACCAAAATAATGATCAACTTCTTTTATTGATGGAGTAAATTGTACTAATAATGTTTTATAATTCAAAGATATCGTTGTACTTTCTTGCCAATTAAGATATGACTCACCGTCCAAGATATAGTTGTCATATAAATATATGCTGTCATTAGCAATGTTCCTATAGAAAACTGATTCTGAAGACATTGAATTTGAAAAAACAAAACAAAAATTATTAATATCTGAAGAAAAGTATTTAATTTGATACCAATCGTTACTGTACTTATTAAGAATGAAGTCTAAAGATTCGCAAGCGCCTTTCTTCAATTGAACAAATGAATAATTTAGTAATTTTCCGTTGGATTTGATTGTCAATGATGAAGGGTTAGTGTAAACATGCTTGAGTGGTTTATCATTGAGATTGAAGTTATCTGTGTTCGGAAAGATGATGAATGAATCAAAATTTTCTGTTGGAGTAAACGCCAAGACAAGTTCTGAATCAACAATATCTGAATATGAGCCAGGAACTGATACTTCTTTTGCTTTTGCAATTGAAACCAAGAAGATAGTGAACATTTACGATCCTTCTCAATAAAAATTTTGACCCTTTGAAAAATTGACCAGTCCACCGGAAAATTTTACAATTTTCTTCAAATGCAGTAATGTATTTGAAATTTTGCCAATGAAAATTGAAATGGATAGGTTTGAATAGTTTACATTATCGCAAAGATCATTCCATTTTCTCAAAGAAGAAATGTTAATTGTTCCGGACAAACTACATTTGCACAAATATGCCCGATGACGGGGATCAGTACATTTTGATTTGAAAAATTATAACAATGTTTTGATCCCTGTCATATCATATCAATTTGGAAAATATACCTATCTTACGTTATTTGCTGTTTTAGTTTTGTTTACATGGAACATTTGATATTTTGAAAATGTTTGTAATTCAATGAATTATATACTCATGCATCCATGGATATTCCAGTAAGTGTGCATTCTTATCTATATCTGATAATACAGTAAAAAAATTAACAAAAAAATCAAATATTTTTTAATTTTATTACAAACAGTATTATTTATGAGTTGTTGCATGAATGTGATGCTGAATTGAAGCACTCTTTGCAGTAAAATGATCCACATTTGCTGCATTGGTTTGTTTCCAATGATCCACAGTTGCAACATGGTTTGAAATCAAAAGATTTGATCACAGACTTGTTCTTTGGCATTTGTGTCTTCTGTTCTAGCTCAGCAACTTTATAGCTCATTGTGTGGATTGTTTGGTTCATGTTTCCAATTGTTTTTTGGAGTGATTCCAATTGTTCGAAGTTTTCTTCTGTTTCTTGAGTGGAAATCGAGTCTTCTTGCTGAACAAAAGTCTTCTTTCTTGTAGAAATGATGTATTTCGACCTGATTTCGTCGATTTGAATGTTCAAATTTGTTTCTAATTTCTGTTTTATTTCGTGCTTCTTGAATTGTACAGCAATATCAATCGGAGTCTGACCTTTATCGTTTTTGAGTGATAAATCGTCCGAAATGGAAAGAAGGATTTGACATAAATCCCAATCATTTTGCCTGACAGCAATATGAATGGGATAGTTGCCAAATGCTGACTTCTGTAGTACATTTGCTGGTTTGTATGTAAATATTTCTGATCCATCAGGGATCTTTGTGAAGTTACCATCGTATTCAATTTGAGGTAAAGGCTGTGTTAATAATATCACTTGTGCATGGCGCCTATTGGTAGTAGCTATGTGTAATGCTGTAGTTGGATGACCTTCATTGACCTTTATTGGTTCTATTACTGGAAAATCTATGTTTTCTTGGATATTTTGGAATTTTAATAGAATTTTCATACATTCATAGTCTTTTGTGCATGCTGCATAGTGGATTGCAGCCCATCCATTTACGTAAATAGAAAGATCTGGTTTTTTATTTTGTAATAAATAAAGTAAAATGTCTGGTTGTTCACATAGAATGGTATATATTACAATTGTAGGATGTTTGATGTAAGGAAATGGATAGGTATTTGATTTATTTACGACAGGAATTTCTTCATTTTTAAGAAATGGTCGATTTATGTCATTTTTGCCGATCCACAACGACTTAACTCTTTCTAGATTTCCCTTTTGAATCGATTGAATGAGATCTTGCTCATATGAATTCGCCATTCAAAAATATTTCCGAATGATTTTGAATTCTGACTGAAAAATTTCAAATTTGCGGAAACAAAAATAAACTTTTACAAAAATGAAGAAATATGCTTTTTGCATTAGTAAATATCAAAATATGCGTTACAGATGGTATATTTCTGTCTTCAAATCAGCGACTTCATAAGTGATAAAATCGTTTTTTAAAATATACAAGAACCATAATATTAAAAACCAATGAACTATGCATAAAAAATTATAAAGACCAAGAACTCATTCAAACAGAAACCAAATTAAAAAATATAAAAATTTTATTTTGATTATAAGTAAAGATAGTAAAGGATATTAGAAGGACTGTAGGAGGAGTAAAAATATTAAAGGAAATAGCTTTTATGTCAGAGAAGATATGAAGTTTTTAATAACTTGTTAAATGTAAAGCAAATCCCATGGAAGATTATGCCTGGCTAACTGGTAAGTAGAGCTTTAAGAGTTTGGATAAGACTAAATCTATAAATACTGTGTGTTAGTAAATTATTTTAAAAAAAAGCGGCTCAGATATCTCAAAAGTATCAACATGTTGATATCTGACGAGAGGAATGGTCTTCAGAGCCGCATTAATTAATACATACTATCCTGGATCAAATAGCTTATAAAGCCAAATGAAAAATGTCAAAACGGTTATTTCATGGCCAAGCCATAAAAAAATTTCTCTTCAAAGTGATGTTTGTCACTTTTTCAATGATGTGATTTTATTTGAATGGTTTACATTATAAATGGAAAACGAAAATACTGCTCCAGCTGAAATCGATAATCCGAATGCTGAGCATGCTGAAGAAGATATTGATATAGATGAACTCTCTAATCAAGTTCAGACTGCATTTGATGCTTGGGATGAAAAAATCCAAAGTATGTTTTTAGTTTTCTAACAATCAGGATTTAAAAATCATATCGAAATGTTTAAAACAGACGTAGAGAGAGCTGTTTCATGTAAAGTTTTAATTCTAACAAACAGCACAAGGAAAAGGATACTTAATCTTAAACCAAGCTGAGGTTTGGTTAGACAAAGTACACGAATCTGCAACATCCGTTCAGGATGAAGTACAAAGCATACTTCAAGAAGCTCAGAGAGCTCTTAAAGCTGCATATTCAAATTAAATTTGAATAAAATTTAACTCATTTTTACAAAATAACTGTAATATTTAGAATAGTAATATATTATTTTAAATGGATAAGAGAAAATAAATAAAATACAAATAAATTTGATTAGTAGCGCATATAAGCAGTAAGTGGTCTTCTAACTGCGCCGTTCTTCTTCTTTGGTGGGTCGACAAATTCGAATGTGCAGCGTAAATCTTGGTCAACTTTGAGCATTGCACCGCGGTTCATGAATTCCTCGCAGTAATCAGGCGCTGAGAAGACTGTAAGTACGGATTGTTTCGGAGTAAATGGGAATTCATAACCTCTGTCGACAACTTGATGAGCTCTGCAGATTAAATCGAAGTCATTCTTTGATAAGAACTTCTCTGCGATATCTGAGCCGAAAGAGTATGATATTCCTCTCTCAGATGGCCTCCAGCCGAGGTGTTCATTACTTGGATCAGCCCAAACTAGATCAGCAAGTAATCCTTGGTCTGGAATACGTATTGGCCTCTGGAGCTTCGATATCTGTGAAAGATCTTGGAGTTCTGGTGAAAGACCTCCGTGAACGCAGAAAATTCTATCGCTGATAACTGCTGCAAGAGGTATGTAATCAAACACGTCTGTGAACTTTGACCATAAGTCGGGGCTGTAATTTTGTGAACATTCGGCGAAAAATCCATATAACCTTGAGATATCGCGAGTTTCGTGATTTCCTCTTAAAATCCAAAAGTTATTAGGATATTTGATTTTGAGACATAATAAGTATGTAAATACTTCGACTGAATTTTTGCCACGGTCAACATAATCACCTAAAAATAGATAATTCGTTGTTGGAGGCTGACCACCCATCTTCATGAACTTGAGCAAATCATAGAACTGACCATGGATATCGCCGCATACAGTGATTGGTGATTTAAGAGACAAAAGTACTGGTTCACTCTTGAAAACTTTAATGGCCTCATTACAAAGCCAATTTAAATCACTAACATCCATCTTAATGCGTGTATCCTTTGGTAAGCTCTCTGCTGCTTGAAGCTTCTTAAGTAACCTATCAAGTCTTGGGTTCGAGTTTCCGTTTTCCATTGTAAAAAATTTATAAAAAAAATTAGTGATCCCCAAAAATTTTTATTATTGAAATTTCATTAAAATATCAATACATATCAATAATCCATACTTTTATCATCAAAATTTTTGTGAAAATGATTGACCTACTAAAAGATTTTCTACAGTTTTAATATTATTCAGCTTGATGATGTCATATAAATATTAATATTTCTGAGCTTTTATAAATTGAATGATTTGATTTTTCTGTCAATTTTTTTGAATTAATTTATTTTGTATCTGTAATGATTTAATATTATTTATTTACAAAGATTCCATCGACCATGTATACTTCACAAAAATCTTAACATTCACAATTCTTGAGTGTAATGAGGAATTATAAAAAAATCCTTAAATATCAGGAATAATTTTGATTTGATGATAAATCATAGTTTTTACATTGAAAAATATACAAGTGCCTATTATGTATTTGAAATCACGAAAAGAGTTTTTCCAAATTTTTTCCATTTTCCTAAAAATCAAAAAGTTTTCTTTGAAAATTGTTTTTATTTTTTCAAAATCAAAATTTTTTTGGAAAAATTGAGAGTAAATTTATTTTGTCCATGCTTCAACCATTCAAAAGAAGCTTTTTAAACATTGCAAAGCGGCCATTTGGTAATTTACGAACAAACTGCTATCTAGCTTATAACTCTAAAGCATGTTTACTGCTCGATGCTGCTGATCATGGAGATGATATGATGAGATGGGTCAAATTATTTTGCCCAAAACAAGAATTTCAACTCGCTTTGACACATGGACACTGTGATCATATATACGCTGTTGAGCATATCCTCAAATACAACAAAAAATGCAAACTATCTCTTAGTTCGAAAGAAGAAGATTTAGTAATCGTACCAGAATACAATTATTCAACTTTTCTTAAACGATCCACTACATTAAAACCAGTCAAATCCAGATTTAATTTCATTGACCACCTAAAAACTATCGATATTGGAGGTGATAGACTCCATATCATCGAAACACCAGGACATACTCCGGGATCCATCTCGTATTACTACCCAGAAGGAAAGTGGGTTGTTGTTGGCGATACAGTTTTTGCAGGCTTGATAGGATCCACGAACCATTATGGTGGAAATAAAAAACAATTAGTTAATTCTATCATTTCAAAGATCCTTACACTTCCAGATGACACAGTGATTTATCCTGGTCATGGGAAGAATTCAACTGTTAAAGACGAGAAGAAAAATCCTCAAATAATACAGTTTTTCAAGAAGAATCCACCAACTATTGACCAAATCAAAGTTCTCAAAGAAATAAATTTCAAATGTGACGAATTTCTTCAAGAGTAACAAATTACATTGAATATTCTTAATATTCATGATAAATAGTTAAATGTTAGATATATACTATAATGATTTGAATACGAATTTGAATTATTATTCACTTATATTAAAAAGACTTCATATTACGCATAAACATATCTTTGTTAAGCTAAAGGTAATATGTATACTCTTCATGCACGCATGTTACCTGTGAGTATAAAATATAAATTTTCAAATTCTAATTTGAATCAAAAGAATCGTTGCAAACAATATTTTTAGATTACAGATATCAAAATATTATTCAACATATGTGAACAAAAAGAATCATTAGATTCTTATTTCCATATGAACAATTTCGCTGTACAATCGTAATCCGAGCTCGTTTTCAATGGTTGCAACAATATTAATGCTTTGCACTCGATTGTTAATAACAAACATTTTAATTTGAAAATGCTGAACTAAATTGAATAAGGGAAACCAAGGTGTAAACTTAATCGAATAATGTGGCAAGCTTGCACAGAGAATGATCATTTTTTTATTTTATTTTTTTTATTAAATTTTCTCATGAACCAAGATTTGCTAAAGAGATATGATGACTATTTTGAGGTATACGATAAGCTTTTCAACATAAAATTAAGTGATTCAGTGGATGAATTTTATCAATTAGTTACCAATTTTTTCAATAAATATCGTATTAGTCGGATCACATTCTTTTCGAGCCTTATGTATGCAGTTAAATATAACTATGGTTCGCTTATGCTTTATATCAAACTTTTTAACCTAATAAATGAAAATTATCCAATTTCTCAATCACTTTTAAGTCAGAAACTACTCAGATCTATGGAAAAATATTTACATATAATTACACAGGAAATTGATAATTCATTCCCAAAAGAAGACGAGATTGGCTATTTCATTATGTTTGATCAAATTGATAAATTCAAGGAGTATGCAATTAACCACAGTGTTGAACGTCTCAGAATGAAATATTCTGCCATCCTCCGCAGAAATTCTATTCTTGAGAATTGTGCTTATTTTGGATCTGTCAACATTTTCAATTTTCTTCTTACAAATTCAGGTTTCAAAATCACATCAAGATGTCTCCGGAATGCTATTATCGGTGGAAATACAGACATCATCAATGAATGCATGAAGTCATTTCAAATTGATCGTGATTGTTTCAATTGTGCTATTGGTTCACACAACAACAAATTTTTTGAATACATTCTGAATCAGGATCTTGTTGAATTTGATAAAGTTGATTTTGAGACTATTTTTTATTCCCAAAACTTGAAAGCTCTGTTTCTTATGTATGGAAAAGATCCTAATTCTATTGTTCCATGGTGTTTAGCATTTCCAGAAACTATCGATATCATTAAATCAGGCAACATCAATTTCACAAAAACAGATTCTGATAATAAAACACTTCTTCATTATTCATCAATGTATGCATGCAACGATATAACTCAATTTTTATTAGATTCACGAGAATTAAATCATATTAATATTAATGCAAGAGACAGATTTCATAAATCAGCTCTAGATTATGCAGCTGCAGGAGATAGCAATCAAATTGCAGAATTACTTCTGAAAAATGGTGCAGAAATTAATTCACCAGTATTTTTACAGCCTGCTCTTTATTACTCAATAATCAATAAAAATAAACAAATGACAGAACTTCTTCTATCTTTTGGTGCAGATACTAATATACTTTATAACGGATTCAACACTATTCTATCCTTAGCTATTGATTTAAACTGTAAAGAAATTGTCGAGCTTTTAATTTCACATGGAGCAGATCTAAAAGATAGAAATGGTGATTCGGCGCTTGCAAGATCAGCACGATACAATAATATAGAGATAGTAAAACTTTTACTTTCACACGGCGTCAAAGTTAAAGGAAGTGGAGGCAATCGCGCGCTTTATGAATCAATAAGTAATAATTGTACTGAAGTTGCTAAACTACTTATTTTATATGGTGCAGATCCTACGAAAAATTATGGATTTGAAACAAATTTAGGTATTGCAATCCAGAACTGTAACAAAGAATTAGTAGAGATTCTAATTTCAAATGGTGTAGATGTCAATACTTAAAATGATCAAGGCGAAAAACCTCTTCAAATAGCAACTGACAAAGCTAATAAAGAATTTGCTGAACTGCTGATTTCAAATGGCGCTGATTTGAATGTAAAAGATATATCAGGGGTTTCTGCTCTACTATTGGCAGCACACAACAATAGATTAGATATTGCAGAACTTCTAATCAAAAATGGAGCAGATCTCAATATTAGAGATTGGGATGGAAAAACAGTTCTTCAATATTGCTCTAACCACAATAGAGAAAAAATTGCAGAGCTACTTATTTCGCATGGTGCAGATCTCAACGCAACAAGTAACGACAAAGTTACTGCTCTTCATTATGCAGTTGATGATAATAATATAATAATTGCAAATTTACTTATAACGCATGGTGCAGAACTTAACATCCAAGAAAATGTCAACAAGGAAACTCCTCTTCATTATGCATCAATTAAAAATAACAAGGAAATCGTTGCTTTACTCATTTCACATGGCGCTGATGTCAACATCAAAAATTCGGAAGGTAGGACAGCTCTTCATCTTTTAATCAAGCAGAAAGAGAGACACAAAGACTGTATTGAAGCTCTTATTTCACATGGTGTAGATCTCAACGCGAAAGACAAATACGGAAAAACAGCTCTTCATTATGCGCTTGAACATAATGATACAGAAATTTCAACACTTCTTATAAAAGAAGGTGCAGATGTCAACATTCGAGATAAAGAAGGGAAATTCCCACTTCTATATGCAGTTGAACATAATAATAAACCATTAATCGATGAAATGATTACACACGGTGTGAATGTTAATACTAAAGACAGAGAAGGTAAAACATCTCTTCATTATACAACCGAATCAGGGAACAAAGAAATCATTTCATTACTTCTTTCGCATGGTGCTAATCCAAGAATCAAAGATCATGACGGGGATACTGCTCTTGATTATGCGAATGACTGCAATAACAAAGATATATTAAAACTATTTATTCCATTTCAAAAGAATTCTAAATCTAAAAATAACAAATGAATGAATAATTCAAATTATAACATAAATCTTTATAACATATTGAACAATAAATTTTTTAAGTAACTCTAATGAATTCGAGCTAGAAAATAACTCATTATACAATCGTTCTTATTTTAGGAATGAAAGTTATATATTGTTATTTCATATAAGGTCGATGAAAAAATGAGCGTTTTTAAAAAAACCGCCGTTTGAGAGGAAAATTGAGAGCCCCGATGTATACTTTTTGACATTGTCAAAAACTTTGAAAGGACTAAAAAAATTTTAGTGTCAGAAAGTTTACAAATGTATACTTTCTGACAAACAGACCCTCAGAAAGTACTCAAACTGCGGTTTTTAATTTCCGCACTTTTTTTTGGCGACCTTACTATTCAAAAATTCAAAATTCGTCTAGTATACGAATTATTGAACTATAACTCTATTTCTATTAATTTAAGCGCAATCCACCCATACACAACTTTATTTAATAGCTCCTTGTGCATGCTATCATTCTAGCCCAAACTTCAAATTGTTTCATTTTTTGTGAATTTCTAGTCAATTTTTTTAGCAAAGTCAAATATTGGTTTTTACAAGGAATGAATATATCCTCAGATCAGAACTCGTCTAGAATGAGGTATTTATTAAGTTTGTTCATAGATGTATTTCTTATATAAAATAATAATTATGAGATATATGTGATAGATTGATTATTGTTTGGAATCTTACAAAACTCATTCTACTTGTTATATTTCTATATCATAAAACTCAATAATATAGTGATATGTCTTTTTTTCAAATAAATTTCATCAAGAAGAAGTGTAAATAGAATGTAAGCATCATAACCTTAAACCACATATGAAAGATAAATATGCTGATATGAAAAAAAGGTTGGATAATGAAATCAAAAATATATATAAAATTTTTATTCATAAAAAGTTAAGAAAGTATAAAAAGGATATTTCTTCCCCATGGTAATGACATATGTCATTGACATAAGTATGTTTTCGACTAAATTTATAATCAAAATTTGTGAAAGTCAAAGTTTTTAAAGCAAGTTCTTGTGGAAATGCTTCTATAGTATAATCCGAGTATTAAATTGCTTGAGATTTAGAATAATTTTAATTCAAATATACGATTTGAGAAAAAGCCTTCACATGCGAGTTATGCTTGTATATCTGAGTTTTAAGCATTTTGGTATAAATAATTTCGTTAAAAATTCAATTTTCGAAAATATATTATATAAATTATCGTAATAGTTGTATTTTAAGTGAAGCATTCGAATTTCATTAAGTTTGTAATTAGGTGGCGGATGATTTAAGAGTTAGTATGCTTAATTTAAAAAAAATCGTTTCTAAGTCAGACATATGTATTACAATCGATTAACCAAGACTGGGTATTGAATATATTTTGCATTGCATTAATATTTAATGCATATATCCCCGTCTTTGGAAATCGATGAATACGTTAGAAATCTGAAACGAGATATAATGGATAAATATGAATAGAATCAGTATTTATTGATGATATAAAAGCAAAATCTATCAGTGATATTTGCTATTTTCATAAATGTGTGGTGATTAAAGCTTAATATTTTCTTTTTATCTAAAAATAAGAGAATCAATGATAAATCGGCATAAAAAGAGAATTCTATGTGTTCCAAAATCAAAATGGCAATGATAATTTTCCAAAATTTTTTCAAAAAATAAAATATGAATTAAAAAATCAAGAAAAAATTCTTCAAAATCGAATTTTTGGATTTATTTTGGAATTTTATAGAACGGTAATTAGAATTATTTTTTAATGCTATTATAGGTACTACTGAAATTAATTTGAGAATGATTAAATTTCGAAATAAAATTTGATAAAAATAGTATTTAAGAGATAATAACTACCCAAACTAATGAGAAATAGATAAGTAACTGTATTATCCAATGAATTAATCAGATATTCTGCACAATTTTAGGAGTATTTCAAATTACTACCAATTTGAATGTCAATTCAGACCAAAATAGTTCTTTTTTATCAAATTTCTTATTGAATTGATGAAATATACTTTTATATTATCTATATTCGGATAAATTGTTGAAATATTAACTCAATTAGCTTTAGAATTCAGCATTTATATGGTAAATAGAACCTTTACAAGAAAGAAACATATTACACATACATTTTATTTGTTCATTTCTCAATATTTAAATTTTCTGATTAAATGTTTTTTTTTCTATATTTAATGAAACCATTACTTATTATATCATTTGTAAATGCTAATAGTAATAATATTTTAATGAATTACTATGAAATTTATTACAAATTTTTAATCTTATGTAAATATGGCACATAAATATCAATAAATCATATTATACATCATGTAAATGATAATTGCCCCTTTAAAAATAGATATTTTATTCATTTGATCTCAAATTTTTGTATTTCATGACATTATAACAAATTCACATTGAAATTGATAGTTTCTATTGCTATCAAGAACAAAAAATATAGATTGGCACAAAAAACACGCTGTTTAATTTTGTAACAAATCAATTGGTATTGTTGATACGTTTTCACACAATAACACAGTTATAAACATATTATTTACATATGAAATTATCTTGCACATTACTTATTTATGTCCAAATACTAGTATATCTTATTAAATCTTTTATTTAATATAACAAAAAAACACAAGATAGTACTTTGGCTACATGAATGAATTACCCATCCAATACTTTAATTGTCCCTAAAGGAACATTGCAAAAAATTTAACTCTATAATTGATTTTGCCGCATTTTAAGCTCTATCGTCGTGATTTTGACGATTATTTTCATTATTCGTCGAAAGACGATTATTTTTTTCATTATTCATAACCACCCAAGTCAAAATCATAAACTCAATCTATTCAATTTTCACAAAATTTCCTAATAAATGCATTGCAATTCAAGTAGGTATCATTGCATTGCAATCTCATAAATTTATCTTTTTAGCAAGACCCTGAAAATAAAAAATTATCATTTTCGTCAAACGAAAATGATAATTTTGTCACTTTTCCAGACAAAAATAATAATCATTCCTCCGAAAAACAAAATCAAAATGTCCAAGCACAAGATTCTTCCAATTCAATTGAATGAATTGATAGATATCCTTAATGCATTGTATCAACTAAAAACATACAATGGAGAAGAGATAAGTTCGATTTATAGAGATTTTCAAAGATTTTTTTTTAAATCTAAAAACTACAAACAATTAGAAAGTAAAACAAACATTTTATAAATAAAAAAAGAAAAATATTAATTACTGTCTTGGATATCTGAGAGTTTTCTTCTTCATTCCGCCCTGCAAAGGAGGAAGAGCCTGCGTTTGTACTGGTGCAGCGGCTGCTTTCGGAGAACGAGCAGAAATGATGGGTCCGCCAGTCATTTGTTCGATAATTATTCTGACTTGGTTCAAATCTGATTCTGTGACTTGTTTTCCGTCCAATTCCTTGACGGATCTCAGTATAGAAAGTATTCTGATACGAGGAGATATTCTTTGGGTCAAATTGTTGTCGTTGAAGGCGAATTGAACTAATTGCGAGCAAATTCTGAGTTTTTCAACTTCTTCGACAGTAGGAATTCTATTATGAGATACATCGAGTGCAAGGATCTGTGGTGAAGCAATATTATCCAGTTTCTTCAAGGAATTATAAGATAAATCAATAGTTGTTAGTTTTGGATGGGCAAAAGCACCGGCACCAATCTTATTGATGTAATTATGAGACAAACTAAGTGTTTCTAAGTTCGGAAAATGCTTCTGGGAGAAAGAATCGACAGATTTTATGGAATTATTAGCGACAATAAGGGTTTGTAAGCTCTGGAATGGCGTATTCTGCAAACAGGAGAATATATCATCGGTTATCTTGTTGAAAGAAAGGTCAATGTACCTCAATCTTGGAAGGAATTGAACGAAATCGAATAACAACATAGCATTATTGGAGAGATTGAGTTTCTGCAAGCGAGGAAGACTCGTGCTCTCCCAGGTGATCGTAGAAATGTTGTTTTTGCTGAGATCTAGGTCAATCAGGGTGTCACTTTTTAGAGAGTTTACATCTTTCAAACCTTTTTCTGATAAAATAATCGTCGTGGAACCTGTTTTGAATAGGGAAGTGTTCGATTCAGCGAATAAGACTCCTGTGTACATATTCTTAGCTTTTGTTGCGAGTGCAGGAGTTATTCTTGTACCATTGAGCATCTTCAGCTTTGGCAATGAGAAAATGATTCTGTTTTCGTTGTAATTTTTCAATAATGGGTTTCCATTACAGCAAAGAGAGACCAAATTAGGGAATAACTCGTCTGATATCAATTCTTCAACATTGTTATCGGATATGAATAGCGCCAAAAGGTTTTCGATACGAGATAATTTCGTAATTGAGTTACCATTCAAAAGAAGAGTCTCCAGAGCTGGGAAATTCTCTTCTGTAGGGAAGTTTTTGATAGAATTGAGAGAAAAGTCCCCGAAAGTAAGAGTTTTCGATGAAAAATCAATATTTGTCAACATATTATCGGAAGCGTACAAAATCTTGAGAGCAGGGAGTTCAGAAAGTGGCGCCAGTGTAACCAGGCATTGGTTTCTGAAGTCCAAACTCGAGATTTGTTCCAATTGTATTCCAGAAGGGAAAACAGAGGTCAAAAACACATCGCTAGGTGCTTCTATAGGTACATACAGTGGTATCTTGGGCTCTGATATGACTGGCGATGAGTTCCTGAAGAACTGCATCGATAATGAAATTGTTCTAGGTGTGCAAATCGGGTTTCCGAAGAAGATAAAGAGTTTTACGACATCAGAGGCTGCGTCACTGTCAGGGAAAAGGTCGGGTATCGTTGAAATTCTGTTAAATGAGACATCCAAAACTTCTAACTGAGGAATTTCGGGTAAATCCCTTACAGTTGTGATTTTATTGAATGGAATTGAAAGATACTTAAGGTTCTGAAGTCCGGAAAACACAGATAACGATTCAATTCCACAATTTGTTAATGTAACGGAAGTAAGGGTTTCTTTCAGTTCAAATGGTTTGGAAACAAGCATAAGCGACTCATCGTTAATTATTGGCTCCATAGGAATATGGTTTTCTTTGATTTGAGAACAAATTCTTTCAATTTCTCTTGCTGCGTATTCAAACGATTCGCAGAAGAACGCTATATACTGAGGAACAAGGGTTTGGCTCTTCTGGCGTGGATGGCAGAAGATAACCGTTGATTGTTTGTTAATTGTCAAATTTGAAGTGACTTCCAACGAATTTTGAATGTGATTCCAGTCGGAAAGCCATTTAATGGACTCATTCAGCGATTCCGGTGTAACAATTTCGAATTTGGAGGGTTCGACAAGTTCATCTTTTTCAATTTCGGACAAAGAAGCTGTATGAGTGACTTTCCAGACACCGTAGAGTGTAAAGTTGTCTTTGGTCGTACATTTGCTTAAGATTGTGTCCTCTAAATCTCGAGATTTCTCGTCTTCTGTGTCTATTTGCTCAATTGTAGTACATCCGCCACTTAGAAAGGTCGTGGTTGATGCCTGTCTGTAGAATTCTTGAAGTGAAATGCCAATTTCATCAAAATGTTTAATGATGTTGTAAATTTCTGAAAATAATTCTCTGTCTATTGGATTTTCGTAAGTGATAGAGGATAAATACTCATTAGCCTTGCTGTGGAACTCTTCTAGTTCATCGTAAACCAATGACATGTTGGAAGAAGCTTCAAATAAATAATATAATTCTGCATTCTTTCTTCTGCTTTGAGATTTTTCTCTCATTTTATCGTTGATCTTATATGTATCTAAAATTGTTAAATTTGGAAGAAGAGCAACAGGAAGAACGTCATAATTTGGAAATGAACAAATTGGATTCTCGTCGTAGATTGGATCATAGAGATATAGCTCCTGTAGCTTCGGTAGTTGTGAAAGAGTCTTGAATAATGAATAATCATGTAAATTATTATTCGCAAGCTGTAATTTTCGAATATTTGGTAAATTTGCAATTGAATCCGATAGGTACGAAATGCCTGTACTCGAAAGATTGAGAATTTGTAAGGAATCGTTCTTAGGAAATTCTTTTATTTCTTTTATTGGGTTTTCTGCAACACTTAATTCAACAATATCGGTTAGTTTTGATATGTCTGGGAAATCTGTGATCTTATTACCTTCTAATATCAACTGTTTTATATAAACTGAGTATTGAATTCCGGAAATATCCTTCAAAGTAGTGTGATAGACTATTAATGTCTGTAGATTCTTGCAATCTTTAAGCCATTCGAGGTCAACAACATCTTGCTCAATCACACGAAGCTCAATTAGACCAGTAAATGGTGAAAAATCGGGATGAACGGGGAGATCATAGTGAAAACACTCAAGAGTTTTAACTGATGATGGATTTGCTTTAAATTGATCAACATCAATTAAATTATCATGAAGTAATTCCTCTAGAGTTGGGGGATGCATATTTTTTATATTTTGTATAAAAAAAAATTTATCGTTATCGTTAATTCTCGTTTTTAATTTTTTTTGTTATTTTGATTCATTCTAAAGTATTGTCCATCAAAATGAAAGCTCCACAGCTTAGTATGAATAGTGTTAGGTATTTGTGCTTCATATATAGAAGAATACACTTGAAATGAGATATATTATCACTCAATAATTTGGAAATATCCAATTTATGTTATTGAGATCAGATACATGAGTAATTGAATAGTCATTTACATTTTAACATTAACATAGGAAAAATAACACTAATACATCCAATTCACAAAATTTTACTAATATTATAGCATTAATGCAAGTTCTAGCAAGTGATTACCTGAAATACATTGGTAAGTAAGCCAAATTAAGGAATTATTCACTTGTTAATCGACTTTGAATTTTTAGCAACAATTAAAAGTGAAATAGAAGCTCTGCTCATGATACTCACAAATTTCATATGCAAAAAGATATGTGCCCTCTCAAAATTGAATGCATGAACGTGAAGCCTTAGGAAGAACTTCTCTTCATTTATCCCAAAAAATATACATTATTGAATGATTTGCTATCTAACATGAGAGAATGTCCTTTTGTACTATTCAGATACTTAAAATATGAATAATAAATATGACATAATATTTTTCCCTAATTGAAGTGTATTGCTTTGGAATAACTCAACCAGTCCTGTAAAATGAGCTTCGATTTAATTCATTCTTGAAATATATAAAATTGCAATAAATCCAACATAATTGAATAAGAAAACCAAACAATTATAATAAAATCAATTATGATATATGCAATTAAGCTTGAATCACAATCTAATACCGTTTATATAGCATTTTTTTTCGGAATTCAATGTCTTCTTCTTCGTCATTAGACACAGCATCTGGATTTTCTGAAATGGATAGTGCAACAGGCGATATGATTGGAGGCATTGATCAAGAAAGAACTGATATTAACGATGTTGAACAATTAATTAAAACTCAAAATGCTGAAGCCAAGAGATTTCAACTTGGAATACTCAAAAGTCAAAAGAATATGAAGAAATGGACAAAAACCCAAGTAGATACAGTCTCTGCAATTCGAGAAGCAGAAGTTGAAGCAAAAAGATACGAACTAGAAAGATTACAAGCCGAATACGAAGCAGATTTAGCAAATAAAGAAACAGAATTTGAATCAGAACTTCGTGATATACAAACAGAATGCGGTGAATTACGAGTTAAAATTCAACAACTTGAACTCGAACTTAGCGAGGTCAAAGAATCCAGAAAACGTGACTTACTTACAGTTAGATCCCAAATAGAATCTAGTCTTAAAGAAATGGAAGCATCTTCAATGAGTCATGATAATCAAATTGTTCAACTGAAAGCAGTCCTTGATGACTTACGTCAAAAGCATCAGAATGATATAGATCATGCACTTCTTGAAAGCCAATCAACAGAAGAAATTACAGATTCCCAAATTTCTCAAATTGTTGATTCAATAAATCGTCTTCAACGAGAATCAAGACATTCGGACGAATCATACGGAATGAAAATGAATGAGTCGCAATCTACAATAGAGATGCTTAAAGGAGAAATAAGTTCTTCCCAAGATAGAACAAGATTATTATGTGATGAAATACAAGTAGCACAACAGAAGCTCGCTTCTCTACAACAAGATCTATATAAATGTGAGGAACAATCGAGAATGCTAAAAGAACAAATAATTTTTGCGGATGAACAGAAAAAGATTATGAAAAACGAATTGAATAAATTAGATTCGGCTCTTTGGAATACAAAGAAGAGTACAATTATGACACAAGATAGATTCTGAATTATTTCCTTTTGTTTTATTAAATGTTTTAATTTTTGATTAATTTACACTCAATATTTCGAAATTACAGTTCTATAGTAATAGTGACGAATTTGAATTTATCAATATACTTCCAATTTCAATTTTTATGATATGAACATTATTTTAATTTACAAAAAGAAAAAATAAATAACCAAATATGTAAAGTCCCAGTAGTATATTGGTTAGAATAGATCCTTGACACGGATCAGAGGCCAGTTCGATTCTGGCCTGGGACATTTTTTTCTTTTTATTAGCATAGCATTGAATGATTATTCTTTTTGTAATTAGAGCAAATCCGATCAGATACCAATTAATAGTGATCAGAACAGCTAAAAGCTTCATATGAAATTCTGAAAAATATGTATTTATTTTTTTATATTGCTCAAGAATGACAATTCTGCTTAGTAGTACTGTAACGAAAACATTTTCATATTGAATCCAAGTTAAATACAGTTATATTCATATAAATAGAACAAAAGACAAGATTTTTTTGCCAATCACTCCAAATCACTTGATTTTATGAATATATGTCAAGCATCACATACAATTAATAATAATATTTTTTATTTTCAAAAAGGTACTTTTAATGGGCCAAAAATTGAAAATTTTTAATTTCTCTAGTTTCTAGCTAGAATCAATATAGAGTTCATATGCAAAAAGTGAAACTACTATGGTGTTGAAAAAAATATCAAAGTTCCCCACTTAAACCCTATATATAAAGTACTCACAAAATCTAGATTGAGAGGCGGTCAATGACTTTTGAGGGGAAATTAACGCATGGAATTTAATATTATTTAGGTTGATATTCTTGCTTATTATTTCAGAAAAAAATCTTAAAAATTTCAATAGGAAAATTGAAAGCAATTCAAAAAATTGCTAACATGTAAATTTTAATATCCTATGCATAATTTCATATTTTGAACAATTTTTATTTTTGTTTAAAACTTAAAATTTTGCGAATTTAATATAATTTATAAAATATAATACGTATATATATTTAAGGGTGCCCTATAACGATAATGTAAACATCACAAAATTAACCTTATTAGAACTCGAATGAATGGATTATCCAGATTCTAGTTCTCAATATAATAGCCTTAAAAGTGCTTTTCTGAGGGTGGTTTATCGTCTATAGGGCACCCTTAAAATACACTAAATTTAATTGTTAATTGACGTTTTTGGGAATGAATTTTATCAAAACATGCCTGAATCCGAAAATTTGAAAGAACGAATTACACAATCATATATGTAGAATTCAAAATACAAACTTAAAGATTGTATACGTTTAAAATTATTCAGATTGTGTTTGATTTCCACTCATTCTGTTTCTTTTGAACTCTAACACTAACATTTCATGATGATTACATGATCCATTTATACATGGTTGAATTGTTCCAGATTCTACCAGAAAATCAATCCAAATTTCTCAATGCATTCATGTTGATTGGACAAAATTTAAAATTTATCAGCCTGTTTCCAGAGAAACTCAGATATTCACTAATGAAATGTAATTTTTCCTACATTTATTTCAATCAAATTTCAAAAAATTGACTGCAGAGCTTGAAAAGGTGATGAATCATGTTGTTATTAGATGTACATATTAGATTTACTATTTCCAAAAAAATGCTCAAATTTGAATAGTTTTTAGAAAATTTGGAATTACACTCCTTACATTATATATAATTAAATGTTTAAATTTTATTTATTTTTCCCTTTTAATTTTATAACGTGCTCTATCAAAACTAACCTCTCAATTGAAGGCCACAAAATCTAAGTAGTGAGGGTACACAAATTTTGTATGGAGTACGGTTCAATTTTTGAGAGCCTCACTACTTAGATTTTGTGACTACCTTATATATATAACAAGACTGTCATGTAGAATTTCAGACTGGCAAAGGTTCAAGAGCGGGTCGCCTTATTTTTTTATTTCTTTAATTTAATAAAGACTCTTATTTCCAGACTATACTTGATATCGTTGAGAAACATATTTCACACACTTTGTATGAATATTGAATTAATTCAGAAAATAAATCTCAAAATTTTTGAATGATCAGCACAATAAATTGAATGACCCCTAGGTTTCATTCAATTAAAAATGGTGCCAAATAATATATTATGCAAGATATTGCGAAATATTTTTGATAACTTGTAAAAAAGTGTAAACTTCAGAATACACAATAATATATTATTTGGATATTATATATAGTTACAAATATTATTGCCACTCAAAAAATCACGATTTCAATTTTTCTCGAAATCTAGCCTTGAAATGTATATTAATTTTACTAAATATAAGCATTATATTATATGCTAATGGACTTTTTTGAAAGATAGTAGTTAAACATGTATATATATTCCTCCAAAGTTCTTTCAATTTCATTGAAAGGGAGGAAAAAAATTAACGAAAAAATTGTTTTGAGGAAAAAGCAAATAAAAAACAATTAAATTAGTATAGAAACAAACAAAACAAATATAAACATTTATTTAGAGCTAAGGAGCTTTGCAATATCAACTGAAACTTCAATTAACGATGGAAGACTATCTTCATGCAAAATTTTCTGGAGTTTAACAAGTGAATCGACCAAAAGAACGATACTTTCTACAGAATATTTCATTTTGATCAATTTTTGCGTTTGAATGTAAGTTTCTAGGAAGAATAAGTGGTATTTCTCTGTTAGTATCAGTTCCAGTATGAAAGCAATGATTTGCGCAAGCTTTGGCATCTCTTTAATTTTGGAATATTTGATGAAAATCATATGTTTTGAGGCAATCTTCGAAAATACCCAGCCAATGTTTTGTATATCGAAGTCTTTATCGTAATAATACAAAACTGTGTACGCTAGCTGAGCCATTGGCGAAGATGATGTAATTGGTCTCAAGAAAGCATAGATTTTCGAGGTTTTGAGCTGCTTGCAGAGGTCATCTATGACTATAGATAAATTTACGTAGTTGTAAATGGGTGGCGGATTCATAGAAAATTGAGATATATTTGATGGAGTGCTTAAAGCTGAAATTGCTTGGACAAACAGGGGTAGATTAATCAAAGCGTCTTTTCTGTAGCATGTTTCTTTAAATCTTTCGCTGTGATCAATGGCAGTGAAGAGATAAGGAGTACAATGAACATTTAAGAGCTTTGCGAAGAACCTACAGCAGCCAGCGAAGTCATAAAAAGGATAGCTAAGCAAAGTATTGCTAACTTCGACTACAGTGTAAGATAAAGTGGATAATGCGAGATATACGTTCTGAATTGAGTTGCAACCATGTAGAAGAACAGTACTTAGTAAGGCAGGAAACTCGGAATCAGGTGCGCGCCCAAGTAACTCGTAGAATAATACATCAATATCTTTTTGAAGAATTTGAGGTAATTTAATTCCACATTTCTCGAAGTCAATGCCAAGACTAACAAGGTTTTCATATATTTTCCTGACATTCTTCGGTTCGAAATTTTCTGTTGGTTTGTAAACTTCAGAATCTTTTTTGACATCAAACAATTCAGAAGTGAAAACATTATTTGCGAATTTTATGAGTGGTCCTTCATCATCTGGTATTACATCTATAACAGGTAAAGGGTTTGCAGCTATTACTGTATCTTTCTGCCTGTATTGTTCAGTAACAACTGCAAATATATTTTGAGATGAGAATTTGTTAACTTTTGTGGTAACGTTGTACTCATCTTCCAACTTTTTCTGCATCTTCTCTTCAAATGTCATATTCTTACTCCTAGATAATTGGTCTAATGCCTTTTCTTGTGTAGCATTATGAATATCCGGTACTAAAGAGAGCTCAGCTTCATCTGGTGTATATCCTACAGCCATCTGATGCGCTTCAGCCTTTACCTTATACGATTTATGGTTCTTCAAGAACAATTCTTTGAAAACTCCTTCTCTCATATGTCTAAACGCTGATCGGTTGGTTAGTTGCAGCTGGAAATCCTCGAGCCTACGAATGGTTACCCCGGTGACCGGATTGAACGCTTCTTGTGGTTCGGCCAATTTAAATGTCGGATGGACAGAAGTCGTTGAAGTCGCCGCGGACATGGTCGTTGACTCGGCGAGATTCATTTCGTCTTCATCGTCGAAGAATAAGGGCTGTGTTGCCGGTCCAATTTCGGTTGTTGCGTTTGATTCCAAAGAAATCTCGTCCAAACTCGCTGATTTCTGGATTTGAGATGACGGGAGGTCCGATTTCTGAGGAGATTTCGTTCCTAGATCATCTAAACTTGGTGTTTTTGGTACAGAAATGTCGAATCCGTCGAGATTTTCTTCACTCATCGTTTTATTACGGGATTTGTCCTTGTGATGATGCTTGTGTTCTTTATCTCCACTCTGACTTTTGTCTTTACTTGATTTGTGGTGTTTATGCTCTTTATCTGAAGATGGAGATTTTGATTTATGGTGGTGCTTCTTTTCTGGGGTCTGGGAGGCATCATTTGACTTTGATCTCTTCTCTTTTGATGGAGATTCTGAAGAATTCAATGTTTGACCGCTTTGATTTTTATCATCTTCAATTTTTGACAAATTATCTGAACTTCCTGACTTATTTTTATGGTGATTCTTTTTCTTGGTATCTTCCTCACCTTCTGCATGCGTTTTTGAGTGCTTATGAGGTTTGGATGATTTTTCGGATTTTTCTTTAACGGAAGTTTCCTCTTTTACCTCCGTAACAGACTTCTGTGGTGAACCCGTGATATTATCAAGGTCAATATCCGGAATTGAAGGAACATCTGGGTCAATAAAAACGCTTTGATCGTTATTTTGATCCTGTACGGGCGTAGATTGGTTTTCCTGAGGAATATTCGCTTGTGTCTTCTGCTGTTGCTGTTGCTCGATTGCGCGAATTTCGGATTTCTTAGTTGTCACTGCTGGATTAAAGGAATTCAATTCCAACAATATGTAAATCAATTCTATTATATCAACACAGTTTATATCAAACTTAATTTCTCCATCTCTTGAAACAATTAGCTTGTTTATATCTGTTGGCGACGGATAGACATCAGGAGGTGGCAATCTCGACTCGTTATAGAGAAGTATACCATCTTAGCTTTGTATTTCGAACGATCTTTCAAAGACAAAAAGAATTGCGTCGATATAATCATTTTGACCTTTCGCCTGTATTGGATATCCAATTAAAGCTGGTATATATCTGTTGTACATATCGCGAGCTACCAATAATGCGGCTGCTAAATTACTGGTTTCTGCTTCATTTTTTGATTTCAATTTAATTTTCATGTTGTAGTTGTCAACTCGAGAGTTTAAATATATCGAATAGTGTTCTCCAATCTTTTTATATAATATTTTGAAGTGCGGAAGGAATATAATTAATGGTTTAATCTCGTTAAATTGATCAAAACACAAAACAGATCCTGCAATAAGGCAATTCCTTTTAACAGCATGATCATTGTTGATTGAAACTGAAAACTTATATGCGAACTGCTTTGAAATGTAACTAGAAGGTTTAGTAGCTTTAGTCATTCCGCAGACTGTCACTTTTTATTACTTATTTTTTCATCATTTCTTTTTTTCAATTAAGCATTCTAGTGGATCCAACAAGGTTGTGAAGTGGAAATGCAATTTGGATAAATGTCATGACATTTGGGATATGTGAATTTAAAATACCAGACAATCATCATTGCACATTTGTAAAGCTATAAAATACTGAACCTTTCTTTAAAGATCTTGATTCAAATTTAGTTCTTGATGAAATTAAAACATATGATGAAAACATTAAATTTTATTAACCTAATTTGAAGATTGATGGATGCATTTGATTTCATCATAACGAAGCCAGGAGCTTACACAGGCTTTCCATAACAATGACGCCGTATGCCTGGCAAATATCATACATGCAACACTCAAAATGAATGATCGAAGAGGTTGACGAGGAAACGCAGGATACAAACATTTTCGACGAGCATCGAACACTCTCTGGTGAGATTCTCAGACATGTCGACAGGAACACAGGGTGTGGCTAGGCTTAATGTATATGCTATTCTGTTCTCCTCTTCAGCACGGCAGAGGAAGACGACAACATCTACGATGCGCTCGTCAGGAGAAATGAGTAGAAGTACAATATACTTTGCTAACACACTTTACAAAGCTGCCATCTAAGATCAGAACCTTATGAATAGGCCTATCATACAGACATTTACAGCAAACAACATTTCCGGTTTGTCCACATCTGTTTCGCCTTTCTTCAGTTTTTAATAATTTTTTTTTATTCTCACATCAAAAACACCCATGCATTCTCTGCTATTTCTGCTCATTGTTCAATTTATCTCTGCATTATCACTCCTGTTGTGGTTTCCATCTTCTCTTTCCTCTTTGAGGTTTGAGTCTGCAAATTATTCTTCTTCTCTGTCTCACAATTCTCGTTTCATCCTCTTAGAAGCGGCTGTACGCTTTTTCGTTGTCGTTGGAGGAAGAGTCGATTTCAGGGAACCTCCTCTTAATTTAATCATTTATAGTTGCACCATGTGAAATAAGAAGTTCTGCTAATTCTTTATAATTATAAAATACTGCATTATTGAGAGCGGTACTTCCAAAATTATTTTTTTCATTGATATTTGCACCATGTTCAATAAAAAATTCTACTAATTCTTTTTTATTAAAAAATGCGGCGATATTGAGAGCGGTGTTTCCACTTTTATCTTTTTCATTGATATTTGCACCATGTTCAATAAGAAATTTTACTGCTTCTTTTTTATTATAAAATGTTGCAATATGGAGAGCGGTGTTTCCATAAATATCTTTTTTCATTGATATTTGCACCATATGAAAGAAGAACTTCTGCTGTTTCTCTTTTATGATTTTCTGTTGCGATATGGAGAGCGGTGTTTCCATAAATATCTTTTTCATTGATATTTGCACCATGTTCCATAAGAAATTCTGCTGTTTTGTTTCTATCATATTGTACGGCAATATGGAGAGATGTTTTTCCATATTCACCTTTTTCATTAATATTTACACCATGAGAAAGAAGAAGCTCTAATATTTCTTTATAATTATGTTGTGCTGCAATATAGAGAGGAGTTTTTCCATCTTTATCTTTTCCATTGATATTTGCACCATATAAAAGAAGAAGTTCTAATATTTTTTTATGATTATAGTCTGCTGCAATATGGAGAGCGGTGTTTCCATAAATATCTTTTTCATTGATATTTGCACCATGTTCCATAAGAAATTCTGCTGTTTTCTTTCTATCATGTAGTGCTGCAATACAGAGAGCGGTATTTCCATTATTATCTTTTTCATTGATATTTGAACCATATATAAGAAGAATTTCAGCTACTTCTTTATTATTATTTTCTGTTGCAATATAGAGAGGAGTTTTTCCATCTTTATCTTTTCCATTGATATTTCCACCTTGTGTAATAAGAAGTTCAATTAAAATTTTTCTATTATGTAATGCTGCAATATGGAGAGCGGTGTTTCCATGATTATCTTTTTCATTGATATTTGCACCAGATACAAGAAGAACTTCTGCTGTTTCTTTTTTATTATTTTGTGCTGCAATATGGAGAGCAGTGCTTCCATCTTTATCTCTTTCATTGATATTTGCACTATGTGAAAGAAGAAATTCTGCCATTTCGTTTCTATTAAATTTTGCTGCAATATGGAGAGCGGTTTTTCCATCATCATCTTTTTCATTGACATTTGCACCATATAAAAGCAGAAGTTCTACAATTTCTTTATTATCATTTTCTGATGCAATATAGAGAGCGGTTTTTCCATCATCATCTTTTTCATTGACATTTGCACCATAAAAAAGAAGAAGTTCTGCAATTTCTTTATTATTATTTTCTGATGCATAATGAAGAGCAGTTTTTCCATTTTTATCTTTTTCATTGATATTTGCACCATATAAAAGAAGAAGTTCTGCAATTTCTTTATTATTATTTTCTGATGCATAATGAAGAGCGGTTTTTCCATCATCATCTTTTTCATTGACATTTGCACCATAAAAAAGAAGAAGTTCTGCAATTTCTTTATTATTATTTTCTGATGCATAATGAAGAGCAGTTTTTCCATTTTTATCTTTTTCATTGATATTTGCACCATATAAAAGAAGAAGTTCTGCAATTTCGTTATTATCATTTTCTGATGCATAATGAAGAGCGGTTTTTCCATCATCATCTTTTTCATTGACATTTGCACCATAAAAAAGAAGAAGTTCTGCAATTTCTTTATTATTATTATTTTCTGATGCATAATGAAGAGTAGTTTTTCCATTTTTATCTCTTTCATTGATATTTGCGCCATATGAAAGAAGAAATTCAACTATAGCTTTATTATTCAATTTTGTGGCGTAATGGAGTGGAGTCATTTTCTTATTGTCCATGCAATTGACTCTAAATTTATTAGACGAGGCAAGTAATACTCTGCAAATATCAGAATTTTGCGATTTACATGCGAAATGTATAATATTCCTATTACGATAATCTGTTTTATCATAAAATTCATTGTTTCTGAGAATATCAATTGTTTGTGGAAATGCTGCACACCATGGAACAATAGAATATTTATCCTTCTCGAAAAGCAAAAATACGGCCTTTAAGTTTTGATATTTGATAATATATTTAAAACCATCAGATGTCTTGATGCTTTGAATCCATTGTTCAAATACGAAATATTTAAATTCAAGGATATATCCAAGCATTTCATTATTATGTGAACTTACAATGTGTTTGAGACAATCAATGTTTATTTCATTATCTTTCAAACATTCGTTGATAATATCTGTATTTCGGCCAATTATTGAGTAGCAAAGACAATTCTGTGTTTTTTGGCATATTTGATTTGAAAGTAAGAAATGGAAAATGTTAACAGATCCAAAATAGGCACATGCTTCAATCAATGATAACTTTATTGAATTGCAATCAAATTGTTTTGACATATCAGGAATTTCAAGAAAATATGGTTCCTGCTCTATACTTTGTTGGGTAATATACTCCTTGAACTTATCAATTTGGTCATGCATAACTATAAATTCAATTGAATCCTCCATTGGGAATTGTGTATCCGAAATTTCATGAAAGTCAGCCCCGATATGTTTGAGTATTCTGATGTAATTCTCTCTAGAAGAATAATTGTATTGAAATGCCATGATGACAATCTTTGTAAGTCGCTTGATTGAAAGTTGATACTTCGTTATCAAAACGTTTGTTATCATATTGCACATATCTTCAATAGATTCCTCATATTTGATTTGGAAAAGCTTTTCGAATGCCTCAATAAAGTCTGCATATTGTTTTGAATAGTCTGCGCCAAGTGAACTTTGGATCATTTGATTGCACTTGACAAAAATTTTTATAATAATTTTTTCTTCAGGTACTGAGGATTAGAGTCCTATGACCATTCTGCAATGGAAATCATGTTACAAATGCTATTTCCATCTTCTTTCTGTATAGCAGATATAGAATTTGACGATTTTTTGCGAAATCAAATCTAAAATCTCAAGTATCTTCTTTCTCTACCCGAGTTGCAAATAATAACCTTCTTAAATATGTCGTTGCAATCAATGTTTAGTTAGTAGAATTCCAATAAAATACGTATTGATTGAAAATGATGTTGTATTTACAGATCAACAAACTAATATGAACTTAATCTTATATTTTTTGTAAGATACACGAATATTTATATATGTTTATTCAACAGCTCATTTCTATAAATTTAAACAAATATTAATCGAATTAATAATGATTTGCAGATCCAAACTAACATAAATATTTTTGCATGCTATTACTATTTTAATATCATACATTTATTCACCTGAAATTCCATCGCAAACTTCATAGTGATAAATGTTTGAAAATTTGTTTTCACTAATGGAAACATTTTGAAATATGACTCTTTGAAATGATTTTGCCATTTAATTGAGCTTCGATATATATGATGAAGCACATAATTTCGTGCAACAAACTATTGTAAATTGCCACAATTTCGTGTAATTTTTTGTATGTGTATTATTTCAAATGAAACAAATGGTATCAGCTCTCATGATGATGCGGCTCTTTTCTAATAATTCTTTCACGATATTCTGCATTGTGGCCTGAAATTTCAAATATTATTTTCATAATGAATTAATTTTGATTCTGAATTCACTTGAAAAATATCAAATTCCAAACTGTCACAAAATTTCAATATTATGTTGTATAATGACTGTTTCAATATATGAGAGTGCAGTTTATGTAAAATATATGAACTTAAAATGTAGATACGAACATTTATATATAAACAAACAAAATGGAAATAGTTATATTATAGTTCAGTAATCGTGTCTTCATCCGTTTGGATGACAAGATTATCAGTTGATTGTTCAACCCGAGAAATTTCTGCTCTTATGCTATCAATTGGATTGTCTAACTCTCTTGTATGCATGTTATTAAGTAAGTCATTCAGTCTATTATTAGATCTTGTTGGGCAGCAAAAATTAAGATTAATAAACCTAAAAGTGAACAAAAACAAGAATATAGTTATAAATACCCCAAAAATCTCATAAAGAGATTCACGAACTTTTCCAAATTCTTGCTTAAAGCTGATACATTGAGGTTCTAAAACATCATGCCATAATGTAGTATTTTCTCGGACGATATCATCGAGGTCGTTAATAATTTCAGCCGAGCATGAAGTTTTGTCGATTGAATAATTTAGAGTTGTAAATTGTACATTAAGTTGGAAATTTCGCTTAGAATACAATGATAATCGAACAAAAAATGGCTGTGTCATCATTACAGAGCATATTGTAGCATTTTGACAAGATATTTTAAGTCTTTTTTTGTTTAACGAACTATCTGTGTAAAATTCTGCAGTGAACGTATCTTGTCTACTATTTGTATTAAAGGTTATATACTTTTTATTTGAAGATTCAGAAAAAAATAAACATTTTGGTTCAGAATCAGTGAAATTCATCTTATATTTGTAAGAAAGACCGTAATGATGCATTATACCATTTGATTTGCAGATAGATGAAGGCATTATCCATTGAACTAAGCTTTGTTTCAAATCTGATTTTAAAACTAGAGGTGAATCTGATACAGAAAAGAAGCGAGTAAAAGAGTTTATAGTATAAGAGGCAAGATTTTGATAGTATCCTTTTGATGCTTCGATCGAATAATAAGGATACGACTCTCTGAACGTAAATGCCGATGATTTTTGAAGATCTAATGTATGGTGTTTGTTAGGGAACAGTGTGATTCTATAAAATCCAGGTCTGATAAAAAAAATTAAAAATAGTACGCTAAAGAACATGATTCAAAAATATATCTGAGTGATAAAGGGTGAATAAAATACTTATTTAATAACATTACGTTCTCACTATTAACAATATATTTCTTTTGATCTGAATCGGATATTATAAATTTCAACAAAACACAACATTTTCACTTAATTTCATAATATTTCAAAGTGATGATTGTTATCTAATTCAATCAAAGCAAATATAAAAAATGGCCGTTTTAAATTATTTGAATGGATTGTGATGAGGCAAAATATGTTTATGGTCTAATTCAAGGATTTGCAAGCAACAAAAGATCTGAGATCAACAATTCCATTTCAAATATAATGATGATTTTTCGCTGTTTAGGTGTAAGAAGAATTTTTAATGAATTAATTCCATTTTTATGCAATACTCCAGCATTAACAGAATCAAATTGGTGCAAAATACTGACGGCAATCAAAAGAATCGATTTTTCAAGACTTTCAGATCAAGAAATTATCGATTTTATCTCAACATACAAATTAATGCGTGTAGACGGATCACAACATATTAAAAATCAGCTTTCTGATCTTCTTTTTGAAGCAGTTTCTACTATTTCGAAAGAAAAGATCAGCAAGATTATTTTACCTTTTGTTCTTGACCAATTAGACTCAGAATGGATGCCAGAACAGGCCTACGGTCTTACATTTCTTTCAGTTATCGCTGAATTTATCGATAATAACCAATTTAATTCAATAATTACAGAAAAAATTAATTTAATTCAATCAGATTCTATTGATGTCAAAAAAGACTTCATACAAATGATATCTAATTCTATTCACCAAATACAAAAACCCGTTTTGGATCAAATAATTTCATTAATTGATAAAGAAACAGAATCAAATACCTCAGATTTACTTTCAAGATCGATAATCGACTTCTTAATTGCATATGTTGATCTTACAGGAGACAGTGAAACAGCAATTGCAATAGGAGACGGACTTTTACATAATGAAAGATTTATTATCAGGCAAAACTACATTTCAAGCATTTCAAAACTGTCAAAGAAATATTCTTCATCGATAGAATCCATTTACAGAGAAATTGCTTTTGAATCTGATGTAGATATCATTGAATCTGCTGCAAAAGAACTTTCCAATTTCACTGAAGTAGAAAACATAAGCGAATACAAGGAAAGATTCGAAGTATTCATAAAGAATCAAGAACCATGTGTTAGAATAGCAGCAATCTCCTCAATTTGCTCAAAATCGAAAATTCTTGGGTTGGATTTCGTTTCAAAGGCATTACTAGCAGAATTGAATGATTCTGAGCAACTAGTTAAGCTGTCTACTATTAATGCTTTGAAAAACTCCGAAATTCCACCTGAAAAAATTTTAGATAAAATTATTGAAGACTATTTTTCATTGGGATGGCGTGAAAAAGTTAGTATAGCTCAATTGATGCCTTCTTTGATCGATGATAGTCCTCCTCCAAGGCTACTTCCTGCGTTTTTCATGCTTTTAACAGATGATTCGGCCGCTGTAAGGAATTCTGCCGTTCAAACCTCAAACATTCTTGTAAGACTCCTTGATGAAAAATCTCTTTCCGTTTTACTAGTGCAAATCTCAAAATTGTCAAATCATCCCGATTATCAAATCCGCCAATCCATTGCAGAGCTCATTGTTGTTGCCGGATTGATAGACCAGTGTCATGATATACTAGAACAACTCTCAAAAGACACTGTTTCTAACGTAAGATTAACTATTGCAAAGATCTCACCATATGAAATCAGAAAGCCTCTTAAGAATGATGAAGATGAGGATGTGAGAGATGCTGCTAATGATATCTTGCACTAATTTTTGATTTTTATTATTATTTTGCTTTTGTTGTTTTTGTTTGTAGAAATGATTAAAATATATGAACTGAATTACTATTTTATGTAAAAATAGCTGCAATAAGCAAAAACAAAACCGATTTTATAAAATTTTATCGAATAATCCATTTTTACGCTTATTTTCAACAACAGAAATAACAGGCCGAGGTTAAAACTATGCTAAATAATACAAGAAAATGACAAAAACTATTATTTTTACATGATTTGATTATATTTTTTTCTTCGAATACCTAAAATGACTTTGGTTAAAAAGAACCCTATGCAATGGAATTGTTTTCTATTATCAAAAATCAAACGAAGAAAAAAAAAAGAATCCAAACAAATTTTTTTAGCAATCCAAACAATATATAAGAATAAAATCGTCAAGTCCCTTAAATTTTTGTGCCTTAAGAGGGTTTTCGGTCAAAAGTTGAACCCTCAAAACATATTTTCCACCTTCAATGACTTTTGCTTTGAAACCAAAGACTCTCTTCACTCTGTCCATATTATCTTTGAATTCTTGTGGAAATCCTTCTTTAAGAGTGGTTTTATCCTTATCTTTTTCAAAATCTTCTAAACTAGCCAAAAACAAGAACGGGCAGTGGATGAATTCATTTTTATATCTGAACTGAACCCAAAAAATCTTTTTAGTAGATTTTTGATTCGAACTTTTTGTTTCAATAACTTTATATGAAACAAAAGTTCCCAAATCTGACGGTAAAGGTTTGTCACTTGTAAAACAATCTATTATATGATGATCCTTGACAATGCACAAAGGATTTTTCTCAGAAATTTCATTGACAATACTAGAACCGTTCAAATTATCTTTTGGAACACATGTAATGAGGTTCCTTTTGAATTCTATTGGTAAACCGTTGTTTGTTTGTTTGTAAACTAGAAACGGTTGATAATTCTCATATTGTATGGAAGGTTTTGGAATTTTAGGCTCCAAAGGTAGGTATAAATACTTGTCTAGCATTTCGTTAACCGTTGAATGCTGAACAAAGTTGTATATATTAGTGTTGTCGAATAAAATTATTCCTGGCATTGAAAATAGCTGTTGTATTGTTATTTTATCCACTTTATTGTCTTTATCTGTAACTTCTACAAGTCTTTCTCCAGCATGCAATTGTGAAATCGCTTCTGTTTCGTTCAAATAAATAATTCCAAAAATATAATTGAGATTAGATACATCTTTGAGTTCAAATGTACGTTTCGTTATGCCATGTGTCTCATATTTACCTTCGTTGTTCTTAACAATTACGTAAAAATATCGATGAAAAACTAAAAATGCAAAAGGAACGAATTTACCCATTTTTTCAATATATTTTTTATCTATCTTTGGTCCAAATATTGCTACAAACCTCTTATTTTCATCTGAAAACCATTCATTTGATTCATTATTTTGTGAAGTATCAATAATGTTATACTTTGATTTATTTATGTAAAGAGTATCGAATATCTTCTGATATGCTCCCATAAAAGCTCTCCATGTATTAGAAAATATGTTGTGAGTATTTTTGAAATCAATAAAAAATTCTTTAAGGTAGTTTCCTATTGATAGATCAACGCTTGTGATGTTGTGTCGCTGGTAATAAATGTTGTAATTGCAATTATCGATTTGATGCGGATAAAATAATAAAGATGTATCAGTAATTTCGGATTCATTTATTTCAGGTGAATTTGTGTAATCCATAATGTATCGGTAGACATATGAATATATGTTATCGACATCACCTATGGATTTTATAAATCTGAGTGTTTTCAACACCAAAGCAGGAGTTATTAAATTGACAATCTGCTCATTGGTCATGTCAAAAGCAGGATAGTAAACTTTATATTCTTCTTTATGTTTATTATTTGATATGGATGACATAAAACTAAAAAAAATCCAATTTTTTTTTCAATTCCCCTCTAACAAAGGATGTCGAAAAAACAAAATTGTGGCAAATTGACCAATCATTTTACCATATTTAATCGCTTTGTAATGTGACGCGATTACTTTGGAAACCAAGAGGACGAAAACATTGAAATTATTTTGTTATTTTGCTGAATTATATAAGCTATTTTATATATAAATGAATTGTAGTCTGTCCTCTGATGTTATGAGTCCATCAAGGTTTTCTGATTTGTTTCGTATGACGAAGTATGAATAACTAAATTTATGCCATAATTTTAAACTTGTACTTTATGAATTCAATATTTTAATAAAACAAGTACGTTGAATCTGTCAGTTAGTTTGTACCCTCCCTGTTTTAATGAATCACTTTCATTGTTAATTCCATATAGATTTAGAAAATAATAAGTTAACAGGATTTATGTTTTCAGATTCGAACTGATGAACATATAGATAAGTCTTCTTACTAGTAAAACAAAACTTGCTTTCAATGTCGTATCAAAATAAATTTTGACTGCTGAGCATCAATGATATTCATATGGTATCGCTTAAATATAGAGTGGAATCAAATCACATGGCTCTCGGATTCAGAATTTTAGTTTTATAATTTTCAGATCCAGGATATATATATATCGCTGGAATCTTGATAGGTGATGGCATAACAATCTTGTACTATAGTAATAATTTAAGGGAATACAAAAAATAGCATAGTTCTCATGTTTGCTTACAAGATCTTTAGAGAATAGTCGTTGGTGAAGATTATCTTGATAACGATCGCATACTATTTACAACAGATCGTTGTGTACATGTTATTCTGCGATTATCATGTGAGATTATCTACGGAAACTCCTCAAATGGAATATTTGCTTTTGCAGGAAGCAAAAATACCCTATTATCTGTCACGTTTCCGCCAGGCTCTATGCTCAAAACCATCGGTGAACATGCATTCGATAGTTGTTCAAACCTTTCTTCGATTAATTTCACTAATTGTGAATTCCTAACGGAAATTCAAGGAGGTGCCTTTCAGAATTGTAGACAATTAAGAGAAGTTATACTTCCTAAAAATTTGACTGAACTAGCAGGTGGAGTTTTACAAAGCTCTGGGATTACTTATTTAAATATTCCGAATTCAGTGACTCGCATCGGAGCCTATTGTTGTACTTGGTGTGACCAATTACGCACATTAAATATCGAGCCAGGATCGCATTTAGTTAGCATTGGAACTGTGGCTTTAAATACACAGCTATATCACGAATCTTCATCCCGAAGCTAGTTTCAAGCATTGATGCTAGTGCAATAGATGAAATGGGAGAAATTGTTGTTGATCCAGAAAATCAATACTACACATCTGATGATAGTATATTATACGGGAAAGGGAAAACCTACTTTATTTTACTATTCAGAAGAAATATAACTTCATTCATAGTTCCTGAAAATATAACATCAATACCATATGGATTTTTTAGAAACACAAAATTGAATAATATAACATTCAATTCAAAGCTAAAATCTTTTGGGATATGTGCGTTTCAAAATACATATCTTGTTAATATTACCTTTCCTGACTCACTGGTCAGTATTGGAGATGCAGCATTTGCGAACTGTAAGTTTCTAAACACAGTTATTGGTAGTGGGATGACTTCAATTTCTAGAGAACTATTCAAGTTTTCTAACATCTCAAACATTACTCTCACAGAAAATATCAAGAGCATAGGAATTAATGCATTTCTTGGATGTCCTAATCTAAAAAACATCAGAATTCCAATGAGTGTAACATCTATTGAAGGCTCAAGTTTCGATCTCGGCATCAAACTTGAATTTGAAGATGGCTCGCCATTTTATTGTGATAATCAAAGTCTTCTTTACAATGCTGCTCTCACGAAGATTTTTGCTCGTCTCAGTAATTTAGAAAGCTATGAAATTCCTTCAACAGTTAAATTATTTTCATCTAGAGTTTTTGCGGGACACACAGGTCTTAAAACAATTAATTTCACATCAGATTCTCAATTAAGTTCAATAAGTTTTGAATTATTTTTTGGTTGCACTAATCTTCAAGAATTCATTTTTCCAAATACAGTTACTTACATTGCCGAAAATGGGTTTGCAGCCTGTAATTCTTTGAGAGTTATTCATTTACCAGATAATTTAATGGAAATTGCTAATAATGGTTTTCGCAATTGTAAAGGTTTAGTTGAGGTCCACTTCAAAAATGGAACAAATATAAAACATTTGACATTTGCAGAATGCACAGCATTGGAAACGATAATTTTTGAAGGTTCTCAAGGAACTACACTTGGCCTGTCTTTCCCAGGATGCCCGAATTTGAAGACAGTGATATTTAAAAATATAACATCTATAGGTAGTTCATGTTTTTCAGAGTGCACTTCATTGAAATTGTTGGATATCCCTCCTACAATCAAATATATTGCTCCTAATGCATTTGCGAAATCAGGAATTGAAAACATCACATTTTTAGGAGAGCCTCCAATGACTGTCATTAACACAGATGCATTTAGTAATGCATACAAACTAAGAAACTTGATTCTTCCTCCCACAATTCAGGTTATCGGTTCAAATGTGTTTCGATGGACAAAGATCGAGACATTCACAGTTCCACGCGACACTCATACAATTTCAGAATATGGTTTTCATAATTGTGTTAATCTCAGTACATTCATCATTGAAAATAATTCTTCATTAATGAATATCAAATTTGCCGCGTTTTCTGGTTGCAAATCTCTTACAACAATCATTTGTAATGACAGTATGTACTTCACAGTTGAGAATTTTGCTCTTTTCAATAAGAACAAAACAGTTCTAGTTGTATTCCCTCCTGGTTGTCCATGCAAGTTCTTCTCTGTCCCGATAACTATCCGAGAGATTGAAGCAGGTGCATTCCTCGAATGCAGGAACCTTGTCAACATTCTTATCCCAGACAACTCTGTTCAATACATTCGCCGCTATGCATTCTCAGAGTGCACATCTCTGACTCATATCAACATTCCTCTATCAGTCATCGATATCCAACCAAACGCATTCTCTAACTGCATCAAGCTTATATGCGATGTTGATGTTGAGAATAAGACAGAAGCATTCATTGATAATCTTTATAAAAGGTGTTATCTGAATTTCAATGCTATACGTGAATGTTCATTTGTCACATGCAAGAAACCAGAGAACTGTCGATACCATTCTTCGTTTGTTGTTGTTTCACTTACCCAAGGTATAGCACTTGGTCTTTTCTAAACATATTTTATTGTTTGTTATATTATATATTTTACTTATATATAAATACTATGATCTTAAAGTTAATAATTCGTCACTATATTTCTATAATTTTCCATTAAATATCTTCTTTTCTCCTTTTATGCGTACCATGTGAATGTGATTTGATGTTTGTTTTGTTTTTCACTTAGATCATTATGTTAAAAAAAACTTAATGGAAGTGTTCATAATTATAAAATTGCATGATGAAATCAATTAAAAATATTAAATTTAGGCAAGAAATTGATGTTTTTTATTAAAAATTAAATAAATTTGCTTTCTTGGCATAATTTGAGGCGGTTTTCCTATAAAAGTCTCTGATTGTGATATCGGCATCATGCAAAATTAAAAATTTAACTATTTCTTGATTCTGTTTAGCTGCTGCATAGTGAAGTGCTGTTTTTCCATAATTATCTGTCAAATTCACATCAGCTTTATTTGAAGCAATGAGTTCCACCAATCCAATGTTGTTGTTTACAACTGCGTAATGAAGTGCGGTTTTTCCTATATTATCCGTTTCATTGATATTTATTCCGTGCAATATAAGGAGTTCTGCAGCATTTTTCCGATTGTTCAGTACTGCATAATGGAGTGCCACTTTTCCCATATTATCTTTAGAATTGAGATCTGCACCATGAGAGATAATGAGTTTTAATGAATTAGTTATTTCATTCATTGCTGCATAATGAAGAGGTGTTTTTCCACTATAATCTTTAAGGTTGAGATCTGCCATATTTGTAATGAGATATTCAACTATAATTGAATGTTCCTTTGAAGCAGCAAGATGAAGACTTGTTTTTCCATTATTATCTTGTGCATTTATGTCTGCTCCTTTAGAAATAAGAAGCTCCATAACACTGTGCATTGAATTACTTGCTGCGATGTAATGTAAAGGAGAATATCCATTATTGTCTTTTTGGTTAATATCGACTCCATGATTTATAAGAAAATTGGATATTTCAGCCTGGTAATGTTCAAGTGCAATGTGTAAAAAATTTTTACCTTCACCATTTTTCTCATCGAAATTAGATCCATGTGCAATGAGAATTTTAGCAATCTCTTTATAATTTGACATAATTGCATAATAAAGCGCCGATTTTCCATTTTTGTCTTTAAGATTTACATCTGCATTATGAGAAACTAAAAATTTTGCAATTTTATCATAGTTTTTTCTTGATGCAATATGAAGTGCAGTCCTTCCATTCATATCTTTTGCATTAACATCTGCTCCATGTGAGATAAGAATTTTTATTGTTTTCATAGAACCGCATTCTGTCGCAATGTGAAGAGCCATTTTTCCATCTATGTTAGTGGCGTTAATATCATTGCATTTTGAGATAAGATGTTCAACCAGTGGAGGAAGATTAAATGCAGGAGAAGCAACCAAGCAGCTATTGATATCCTTTGTTTGATCTAAATAAACTAAAAATGCTTGTATGTTATTGTGTAAAATACAGTGGTCTAAATTTATTATCAAGTTATATTCGTTCATTAAGAATGTGATAAAATCAATGTTGTGTGAAATAATGGCATATTCCATGCATTTTTCTTTTGGTCTTATTTTTTTCAAACATTCACTTATTATTTCAGGATTTCCGCCTAAAAATGAGAAACGAAGACATGTTTGTGTGATTAGAGAGTTGTATTTTGATCTTAGGAACTTAAAACAAGAAGCTGCACCATGGTAACTGCATAATTCAAGTAATGAATACTCTCTTCCATCATTTGATGGATATAATGTAAGTCTAATACTGATATTTGGATGGAAACTTGATTTTTCTGATAAATCAATGAATATCTTTAAGTCATCGTTCATTATTGCACGAAACATTGGATCAGCATCATGCATATTAGGAGAAAGACGTTTTCTTTCAAAGTGTTTAATCCAATTTTCAGTTTCTGAGTTAAAGACAAATCCATACTCCTTGTAGAAAAAGAAATCAAATTCTGTTGAAATATCATATATTTCACACTTCGAATCATCATAAATCTTTTTGATAAGCGACCAATATGAGTTTAAATATCGATTATTATATATCGATATACAATTCGAAATTTTGCTAATAATAGCAGCTGGTGGGACTTTGTATCGCTCTATCAAAGTGTATTTAATGTGATTGAATATTCTATTTATTTCTTCGCCATCTGTGGTTTTAACTCTGTACAATTCGCAATATGCATCATGAAAGTCTCTGCACATGTCGATAGCATCATCATATGGAGATCCCATATTGAAAATGATGGAAAAAATTGAATTAACTATCAATTATATAATTCATATTATAGATTAATTTCAAAAATGGTGTTAAGTTTCATATTTTGTCCGAAGTGATGGAAATTTTCGGGTCAATTTTAAAATTTTCCGAAAATTTAACCTGTCCTGATGTCTTTGTAGTATTATTTGCTGTCACTATGTAATAAACAGAAATTCATCAAAAGTGATAACTCTCAATTTTTTGACATTTGTAAATTCTAAATTGAATGAGAAAAATGAAATAATACTAAGCACAATACAATATTCTAGATTTAATTATAATTAGGAAAAGTTAGTTTTGAGAGTACTTTTCATAGGCATATAGAATGAAATCTTCTGAAAAATAATATCACATAAACTCATATTATTTTCTAATATCTAACTATTTTATATAAAAATCAAATTCAATGATCTTAAAAGCGAAGGATAAACCTCAAAATTTACGAATATAATGAGTGGGAATATAATGTTTATCTATCATAAAACCATATGAAATATCAATTTTTGCTTTACGCCTAATTTTTGACGACAATTAGCAAAAAATGTTAAATGTTAACACTCAGTCCATTTGAATATGAAAAATAAAATTGACTTTGATTAAATGTTTTTATTTATCATGCAATTCTTCTTGCGACCAAAGATTTGAATAAAAGTTCAAAAAATAAGATAGCTTAAAAAATAATATACGGTAGTGTTTACTAATAGATGAATAGTATATAAATTCTATTAAAATGGATTTGATCCAAAAAAATATATAAAATTTGATCATAAATCAAATCGTTTTAAATTACTTCTTCATTTAAATTATAACAATTATTTTTGATTTTATATTTTTTTGGATCAAATCCATTTTAATAGAATTTATATACTATTCATCTATTAGTAAACACTACCGTATATTATTTTTTAAGCTATCTTATTTTTTTGAACTTTTATTCAAATCTTTGGTCGCAAGAAGAATTGCATGATAAATAAAAACATTTAATCAAAGTCAATTTTATTTTTCATATTCAAATGGACTGAGTGTTAACATTTAACATTTTTTGCTAATTGTCGTCAAAAATTAGGCGTAAAGCAAAAATTGATATTTCATATGGTTTTATGATAGATAAACATTATATTCCCACTCATTATATTCGTAAATTTTGAGGTTTATCCTTCGCTTTTAAGATCATTGAATTTGATTTTTATATAAAATAGTTAGATATTAGAAAATAATATGAGTTTATGTGATATTATTTTTCAGAAGATTTTGTGTTCTTCTTCAAAATTTTATTTTTTATTAAAAAGAATCTGTACAAAATATACATTTACTTTAATTAATATTTAAAAACGTGCTCTATCAAAAGTTCCAAAAATTCAATATTTTAGCTTTTCTGAGGTGTCACTTTTGATGAATTTCTGTTTACAACATCACTATATTCAAAAATCAATAATCTATTTTAAAACCAGAATATTCTATAATTAGTTGAAAGGATATTACACTTATAGCAAATCAAATGAGTATAATGTGTGTACTTATTGAAGCTAAATATTATCATTTCCTTTCAAATTTTTTTGTTTAGATGATAAATAAGTATTTCAAAATAAGTCATCTTATTTGAAAATTAAGATCAAAATACACATTTTATTCTAAATTTAGAAACCGTAGAGTGTCTTGCCCTGGCGCTTGAGAGCATAGACGACATCCATTGCTGTAACTGTTTTACGACGAGCGTGTTCTGTGTATGTAACTGAGTCACGAATAACGTTCTCAAGGAAGTGACGAAGGACGCCACGAACTTCTTCGTAGATATCACCAGAGATACGCTTGACACCACCACGACGAGCTAAACGACGAATAGCTGGCTTTGTGATACCCTGAATGTTCTCACGCATTACTTTACGATGGCGTTTAGCACCACCCTTACCAAGACCCTTACCACCTTTACCGCGGCCGGACATTATTAACTAATGAAATCAACTCGTTATCTCAATTCTTACCGCCAAAAAAATAATATTCCAATGTAGGTTAATTTATTTTGAATTGTAATTTATATGAAGTTTATTGAAAAATAACGGGTTTAAATTGGCCAAAATAAATTGAGAGGAAATGGCGGGGAATGGTTTTACTTCATTATTTCTAATGGCTCGTACAAAGCAGACAGCTAGAAAGTCCACAGGTGGCAAGACACCACGTAAGTCCCTCGGTGCTAAGGCCGCCCGTAAGTCAACACCAACAATTGACTCACAGGGCGCCAAGAAGCAGCATCGTTTCCGCCCAGGTACAGTCGCCCTCCGTGAAATCCGTAAGTACCAGAAGTCAACAGATCTCCTTATCCGTAAGCTTCCATTCCAGCGTCTCGTCAGAGAAATCGCTTCTGGCTTCCGTGGCGATCTTCGTTTCCAGTCCTCCGCTATTGCTGCCCTTCAGGAAGCTTCTGAAGCTTACCTTGTTGGCCTCTTCGAAGATACAAACCTTTGCGCTATCCATGCTAACAGAGTCACAATCATGGAGCGTGATGTTCAGCTTGCTCAGCGTATCCGTGGAGAGCGTAACTAAATATAAATTCTGTTTATTATTAATGTTAATTTTTTGATTTTTTGGAAATTAGTACTCTTTACTTTAAAATATAAGAGATTTGATGTAATTGAGATGATGTTCCAACAAGAAGTTATATATGTATCTATGCGAATATTGTGGATATACTTCACAATAATAGAGAGTCTGGACCCAAATAAAATCAAATATCTCAATATTGACAAGTTATTTATTCGTAATTGAATGAGTAATATTAACAAGTAGATCAGTTCATGGATATATGATTAGCTCGATTATTTTTAGCTAAAGGACGATTATTGTAAATAAAATGACGTTTATTGACTTTACAACAAGATGTGGTGGAAGAAATACATTGGAAATCCACATGGAGTTGGAGAGTTGAAAAGATCTCAACTTGAGAACCTTTTGATTGCCTCGTGTGAGCAATATGAGAAAATGCAAAAGCAACAGCACGCTCTAGAAAGCGAAATTAAAGATTTAAGTGTTGAATCAATCAGAAAGGCAAAAGTTGAGAGTTCTGCTCGCATCTTACAGAATATGAAAGGAAGCGAAATATGTCCTTCAAATTACGCTGCATCACATCATAGAGCATCACAATTAGAAGCGCAATTATTCCAGTTAAAAAACGACTTAGCAATGCTTAATGATACTATATCATATGATGATGAAGTATTACGGCAAATGGTAACGGCATATCAAATTGAGCAACCTGTACCAAAGCAATCGCTTAAAATAGGTCCATTTAACAATTCAGACTTGCGTAAAATTATGTCCTTTCTTACAGATTTGCAAAATAGAACAGACGATCCTGAAGATTTAGATGAAATTACGTTATGTATTAACTTATTAAACGGAGATTCCCGCTCAATTGGAAAATTTATGTCTAATATTAGAGAAAATTTTGAAAATACTCGCGAACATTTTGAAAATGAGATTGATTCGATAACAACACAATGCCAAACTTATATAAAGAAGACTGCCAAGCTACGTGAGTCTATGGAAGCTCTTTCCAAGCTATCAGAACAGATCATGCCTCAGATGCCATCAGTCAGACGAGATTTAATTGCTAGAGTTGAATCTCTTGGTGACACCCACACACCATACTTAGAAGCCGAAAAGAATGTGAAGCAATTACGTGAAAAGAAGGAGAGTCTTAAGGATGAATGCACCGAATATGCATCAGGAATGATTTTGCAGCCACTTGAAAACGGAGATCAGCGGAAAATGTTAGATGAATCAGTCCAAATCAAAGAAGATATGTTGTACAAAGAGATGCAAATCAATGAGCAAAGACAAAGAACTCAAATGTTGGAATCTCTCGTGGCAAGTGCTCAAGAAGCCTTGAAACAGAGTAATAATGATATAGAAGACATAAAAGAGCAGTGTAGGAAGGTTGTTTTGGCTACTGATGAGAAGAAAGGCAGAATCCAAGAACTCGACAATTTGAGTATGAAACTCAGAGACGTCGAAATAATTCAAACTTTGGCGACAAAAACAACTGTTGATCAAATTTCAGATTATTTGAAGGAGATGAGAGAAAAAGTCGATGAAACAAAGAAGAGAAAGACGGCAGTCAAGATGAGAGTAACAACAATGAAAGACCAAAGCAAGAGATTCTCGAAGCAAATAAGAGAAATGAAAGATTTATTACAAGTTTCTCAATGTTAAATAAAATTTTGTTTTTTATTCCTTTTAGTTAATCACTTGTTAGTGTTTTGATATGTTTTTGGGACATAATAAAAAAATTGAATATGATATTTTGAATGACTTTACCAATTTCACATTTGGATCCTTTATCAAAACATGATAAAAAACGTAAGGATGTTATATTGTTCATTTATATATGACGTCTTTCTGGGATCTTGAACCTGAAGCCGGATCTTCACTTGAGAGTCTGACTGAAGCAAGTGATCCTGACTGGAAGGCAATCCTTGAGGACCCAGAATTGTTCACAACTTACCGATTAAAAGAACAATATTTAATAACATTTTTAACAAAGCCTTCAAACTTTGATACACTATTAAAATTCGTATTTGGTAACGATGCAAAGCAATCAAAACTCGTTCTAAGCCTATTTTTAGGTCAAAAAAGTGAATTATTACAACAACTTTTCAGTTCTAACGAAAATATCACAAAATTATTGAATCTATTCGATGCTTCAAACGATAAGCATCTCGGATTTGTATCTCGCTTAATTACAACAATTATAGAACAAAATCAAGAAATTTTTTATCAGAATTTCGATATGTTAACTCATTTTCCAAAACTTGTTGCATTACTCCACAAGATTTCTATATATGATACAGTAGATAAAATCATTTTCTCTCAAGAAACTAAAAAACAATGGTTAATTTGGTCAATGTTCCGCATTTTCGTTCCGAAATTAACAGTCCCTAAATTGTTTGAAGAAAATTCCAAGACAATTCTTTCTTTAATTGAGAAAATCAAAACAATTAAATTTACAATGTCTCATAGAATAAATATGATGAAAATTGTATCCAAATTCATAAACCAGAACTTAGATAACAAGGAAATTACTGATATTCTTCATCCAATTTTGCCGAAATTGTTATATGCAACAGAAAATATTCAACTTATCAAACTTATTCTTGATTTATCTGTAACACAACCTCCGTCAACTCATACAGCATCGTTTGCAATCGAATTTATGCAGAAATCGCCGAAATTTACTCAGACATCTGCTTCAGCTCTTCGATATTTGGCCAAATACCCGTCAAAACAGACATTGGTTAATTTCCAAGCCATTTTTGACTCATTTTTGGCAGATAAAAACAATACTTTTCATCATGAAGCATTTTTCGAGCTTATAAAGAGTGGAATGAAGATTCAAGACTTCAGGAAGGTAATAATTGAGAAATTGCCACCTGTTATCTTGTATTTGGCTCAAAAAGAGAAATGGAGAAAGAATCTTCCATTTGTTACTTTCCTTTTAGAAATTGCACTCGCCATTGATGAATTCATCACTAACAATGATAAATGGACAGCATTTAGGAAAAATGAGCTCTCTCTTTATAAGACAAAAGATGATATTGATATTTCTTATCTTTTATCTGACGCAAAAATCGATTTTACAAAAGAATCTGCTATAGAACTTTCAATGGATAGGTCCATGGCCACAGAATCTCATGAAACAAGTCAAAAAGAAGAAAATCTCAAAAAATCTGAAGAAAATAAGACCGAATTGCAGCCAAATATGGAATTTCCGGCATTTGAAGAATCAAAACCTGAAGAAAATCAACAATCTGCTCCTGAATTCCCAGAATTTGAAGAAAATCCTTCTAAGAGCGCTACTGGCGTTAAAAACGACGAAAATGTAGGATTTGGAGATCAGAAAGTTGAATTCCCTGCATTTGAAGAGTTTAAACCAGAAGAAAACCAAAATTCTGCTCCAGAATTTCCTGCATTTGAAGAAAATGCACCAAAACCTGCTAAATCAGATGCTAAACCAGCAGATAATATTGGATTTGGTACAGGAAGCGTTGAATTCCCTACTTTTGAAGAAAATACGAAATCTGATCAAAATTCAGGAGAAACAAAAATAGAATTTCCTTCTTTCGATGAGGCCAAGCCACAAACTCAAAATGAAGAAATTCCAACAGAATTTCCAACATTTGGCGAAGTTAGTGAAAATGGAGATTCTCAACCCCAACAATTACAATTCCCTTCATTTGATGAGCCACAAAAAGCTGAAATTTCTCAACAAGAACCAAAATTAAATTCCGAAAATACTCAATTTCCTTCTTTCGAAGAAGCTGAACAAGCTCCGAAAACGCCCTTCCCAAGTACCGAAGAAAAATCCGAGGAATTTAAGAAATTTATTGAGATGCTTAACGATGAATGCTGGCAACAGCATATTCCTGATATTTCAAAGTTGTTTGATACAGCGGATAACCTTTCTGATCCAAATGAATCATTTAAGTTTATCATCAAAGCTGGTTGGTAAAATAAATATTATCTATATTTTTATTTTAACTGATAATGTATTTCTAAGTATGATGAATTGTAATTTCAAGATATAAGTCTTTAATTTGTTAACATAAAATGATTGGTTATATAACAAAACAGAGGTCAAAAATTAATAATTTTTTTTTTGTCTTAATTATGTGCATATTTTTCGGTCCACTCTTTTGCTATCTGTTTTGCTTTTTCTGTATCCATAAGCCATTGATTTGCAACTTCAAGATCTAATGGATCGCTTGGATTTGGATCGCCAAGGAGAGATTGAATGGAGAGAAGAATTGTAATAAGTGTTTGTGCTGGTGACCAATTCTTCTTAAGCACATCCAAGCAAATTCTACCTAATTTATCAATATTTGGATGATATACTTTTGTAAGAAAACGACATTTTGGTGGATCAAATGGATATTTGTCTGGCAAAAAGATTTCGAGTTTGAAAACACCATGTTCATAAGGACTTCCTGGAGGACCGCGAACCCAAGCGTCAAGATATCTATTATTTCCGTCTTTGGTGGTTGCGTATATATCTGGATTCTTATTTAATTCAAGAAGCTTGATTTCTCTCATAATTCGTTGTTGTTCCATCTATGTTTTTTTAATTCTAAAGTTGAACGTTTATTTAGTCACTTTTTCTTTTTCCCGCCAAAATTAAATTTCGTTATTTGAGAATATTTTAGATTCTGCGATAAATGTATTTGAATATTAGCAAGTTATTTTGAACTGAAAAATATTGTAATGTTAAAAAATGACAACAATCATTATCAAAATATCATAATTAGTAATACTAACTGAATTACTCCAACTCTAAAAGCAAATTAGCTAAAAATAATACTTGCAAAAATAAAAAAGTGACAATGGATGAAGAATACAAAGATGAGAGTATTTCATTACCGAATAAAACTATAGTAAACTTTGATGAAGGAAATTACTCAGAAGATGATATAAACGAAATAAATGCCTTTATTTCAGCACTAGAACAGCTAATAAATGGAAAAACAGATCAAAATCAAGTTTCTGAATTACTGTTACAGTTTTGTCACACAATGAATAGAAATCATATTGAATTTGAACGTATATTTTCTGATCTGAACGGAATTAACACATTTCTTTACTTATTTCAAAATTATGATTTTCTATGTACTGATTTATTGCCTATAGCATTGATACTATTAATTAAATTCTCTTCGAATGATCAATCTCAAAATGGTATTGCAAAAGAACTCATAAATACTGATATATTTAATTTTTTGATTGAGCAATTGAATCAAAATGATCAAAATGAATATATATTAGATTTGTTGCTAATTCTTGTTCCAATACATGAATATCCAGAATACTTTATAGACCTTTTTCCGATTGAAAGATTATATTTTGTAAATTTAGATCCTACTATTGTTGTTAATGAATTGAAAGGGTCGATATTGCCATTTATGACCTTTTCACATATATATTTCACCAAATTTAATATAAAACCAACAGAACAATCTTTAATATCATTTGCAGCAGTATTAAATACAATTGGAGCTAATTATGACATAACAGAATACTTCACGGACAAAATTACAGACTTTTTATCAATTTTACTCTCAATTTTGAATAATTTTCCAAATTTACTCATGATTTTAAATGATACTTCTGAGTTATCACCATTTTATGAACAAATACTCGATTTATTGGATAATAAGTCTGAAGAAATTACATTAATAGCCATGAAAATTTTGAATTTGGTTTATTCATATGACAAAACAAATAACGTCTCAAACAGAGAGTTTTCCATGAATGTTTACTGTTATATTAATCTTGAATCAATTTATTCCAGAATTTCTCCGACGAATATTGATTTATCTATATTAGCAATACAAATTCTTAAGCACTGTATCATATTGAATCCATCAATGCTCCAAGATATTTCTGATGACTTTTTGGTTTCAATTCAAACAATTTTTTTGGAAGCTTCTTATGAAATCAAGCGTCCTTTGATACTTCTTATTAATAGAATGATAATGCTTACCGATAGGCTCTGGAATTTGATCAGTGACGATTTTATTGTTGCAATGATTGATATCATTGATAACTCATCTTCTAATGTTATTACGGCACTTAACATTATCACAGTTCTTATCATTAAGTATATGCAGCATGGAAAACGAAGAGAAATTGTAATAAAATTAATCGAGTTTGAGTTAGAGCAAGCTATTGATTCCCTACTGGAAACAAATCCTGATGTGAGAACAGAAAGTATCGCTGAACACCTGAGTTCTCTTTTAAATCCAGAGGAAGAAGAATTCGAGGATGAATAGTCAAGACTGAAGCTACTGTATAGCTTAGATTTTTATGATATTGACTTTGATTAGTATTTTATATGAATAAATTTGTTTGATTAAATCATATTTTTTATATTCATCTTATTTAAACTTGAAATACCTTTGTTTAAGTGTAATTATACAATACAAAATGAAATAACATCCAGTATCATTTGACTTTTAGAAATTGCAAATCTATATTTTGTAATGAGAGAAATTCATGATTTGAAAGAAACTAATTCTGAGTCATTGATTAGTAGCTTCGCCAAAAATTCAAGCGCAGGCAATAAAATCAAACTATAAAAATAAAAAATATAATATCTAAATTACGAGGATTTCTGTATTGAGCCAGAACATTTTACTTTTCTAAAAATATATATATTTAGTTAGACTTGATTTGCTTGCCCTCCTTGTCAACTGTGTAGTGGCAGTTACCGCAGTACTGGCGGCCATCCTTGTGCTTGGCAAGGAAGCAGCCCTTGCAGTGTGGGCACTCCTTACGCTGGGCTTCGACAGAGCCATCCTTTCCGATCTTGAAGAGCTTAAGGATTTTCAGCTTCTCTTTCTTGCGCTGGTGTGGGACACGCTTCTTGGAGACGAAGTTCTTTTTCTTCCTCTTCTTCTTCTTGCCACCATCATCGACTTCGAATTCATCGAGGATGGCGTTCTCGAAGACGGCACCGGCAAGCTCAAGGCCTGTGAAAGCCTTGAGTTCCTCAAGTGTGAGGCCCTCTGGGACCTCAAGGGTGAGGAATTTACCACTGAGGCTACGAACGAAAACCTGCATTGATAAAAAGGTTGGGCCACAGCGTCAGAAAGTGACACATGAAAAGAACAAGAATTATTTTTTATAAACAATAAGATATTTTATTATATTTTCAATTAACATATCGGATTTTAAGTAAATTGGCCTTAGAAAATTCTTGGATCCAATTCAATTGATGGAAGAATTTGATTTTTGTCACCCAACATCTATTTTTGATTCACCATTTGTGTAAATTTAGCAACCTTTGCATCTAATACGTAAAACTTCAATAATTAATCAATGTGTATCCATTAATGATAGTTCATCATTTGTGAGAATGCATATATGGTATAAATGTGTTCAGAAGCATTCCTATAACATATAAAGAAAGAAAGATAGTATTCACAAATATCAGACTAAAATACTCAAAACTAGTGCAAATGAATTACATGAATGCCTAATATGATTAATAAAATAACATGTTTCTACAATAATGTATCAAATAATTGATAATTATCAACAGATCAAAATTTGAGATCCTCAAAGAGATTTATACTTGAAAAGAGGTAGATTAAGTCTTTGTGATCTTTATTATATGCTGAAATTCTTGAAATAGAAAGTGATAACCCTTATTGAAAATGTTTACAGCATCAATGAAGTGATAATCGTCAAACATCATTTGATCTATTGAATGGGATTGAACGATATTGAATTAGAAGGAAAATATATTACAAAGTAGATAGGCATTAGTTATGGGAATATGAAATCAAGAAATTGCAAGATTTCTCCAAATTTACATCCAAAAAGTGACAAATGTAATACAAAGGATTTCGGATTCATTATGTAAAGATCATGATTGCCAGTGGTCGATCAGATGTGGAACGAATAAATTGTGTACTAAGGATTGTGAGCTTACAAATACCATTCCAACAATGATGATGTCAAAATTTGTATTTTTTTACATTTTTGTATAGAAGGATACTATGCTAAACAAATCATATAGCACTCATGCAGTTTGAAAATTAGTAATATCTTATGGAGAGTTGACATTAGTTTGCATTCATGCGGTTCAAAATGATTTGAAATACATGAAAAATTTGCTTGATGAGGATGATGTATTGAATTTGATTAGTGTGAGCTAAATATTCGTAAAAATCATGGACTAATCATGGGTTAAAAATTTGGATGTGTGGTTAATTGGGTAAAAAAGGGGGTTGGCGTCCTAAGGCGTCCTAGTGTAAATTTCTCAAAATTGTGATATTTACATCACATTTTTGAAAGGTTTATGGGCGTCCTAAGGGAAAATTGAATAGCTAGGGCGTCCCGAATTTTCATTCTAAGATTTAAATATATTATATACTTAAGTATAATACAAGCAATATAAAAATTAAATTTTTATTATGTTAACTTATAAGAAATTTTTTTGAATTATCGTTGATTTATTGTAATCTTTCCAGGCTATACTTTTGAAATCAACTTTACCTGTCATACGCATTAATGTAGTAGATGTCTAGGTGTAGCTATTATATCCCAGCAACATTGGTATTTTATCATTGTAAGATATCAAAATGAAGCGTTTTTTCAGATATAATTTTTCGTAAATTTTTCAAAAATAAGATGGTAAAAAAGCCTCGACTTGCTCGAAAAATAACAATTTTTTTACTTGTAAAAATAACCCTTTTACAGCATGGGCAGCTATTCAATCACTATTTCTTTTTCTAAAAGTATATTTTTCAAAAAAAATTAAGATCAAATTCGACAATTTCTTGATGAAAGCAAAAATATTACACATACTGTTGCATGCTAAGATCAGTCATAATGTAAACCTCTCAATTTTATTGTCGTGGGAAGTATCTCAATTCCTTCAAAAAAATTGAAAAACTATTTAATTTTAAAAATATAATACTTTTAATTAGTTAATTAATTGGAGATATTTTTAAAAAATCACTTTTGATAATACTTTTGAGAACTTTAATTAAAAAAATATATTCAAAAATATCCAGGATATCAAGAGGGAATTGTTCCTTATGAGGTATATAGTTATGATGTATACCTCATAAGGAACAATTCCCTCCTTAAAATGAGAAAACTTGTTCGAAATTGTTTATCATTTCGAACAAGTTTTCTCGTTTTTAATAAGAAACTAAAGGATATGAGGCACTGATTATATATTAGTGCCTCACAGCCTTTAGTTTCTAATAGATAGCTGGGAAACTTTCTCCAAATGATAAGTTATTCAGAGAAAGTTTCCCAGCTATCAAGAGGGAATTGTTCCTTATGAGGTATATAGTTATGATGTATACCTCATAAGGAACAATTCCCTCCTTAAAATCGTAGACATTTTTATGCTTATTAATCAACCATTCAAAATCATATTCCTCTGAAAAGTTATTTTATTAAAAATTTAGAATTTTAATAAATATAGAGTTTGAATTTCATACAATACCTATATATTTTCAATAATGGAATTTGAAAACCAATCTCAAAAGTTCTCAGAAAACCTTTTTTTCATTAATTTTAAGAAATCTGAGTATTAAATTAAGTGATAAATTCGTTTGACACTACTTTAATTTTTAAATTCAAAAAATTATATGTGCTTCTTAAAATGACTCAAAAAATTTATTATAAAATAATATATAATATTAAAAATCCCACAACATTTTTTTACTTTACATAATCGTACTTCCTCGACGATTAATTTCCACTCAATTTCTATCGTTGACCGAACTTAGCATGCAACAATACTTCTAGATGCATGGGATAAAATATGCAATTATTCAATCAATTTGCATGATTTGAAAAAAAATCTAAATTTGATAAAAATGTAGAATTTTTTATTTTTAACTTGAGATTCGATTTTTTTGATCCAATTTGTGAATTTTTTTTGATCGGAATTTCAATTAATTTGTTGATCAAAAATGACCTCACAATGTTTGATCATAAGTGAAGTCATCTTCATGGGTATTTAGAAATTCCAAGAGAAATTGCTTATTTCTCGCAGATGTAATATCTGAGAAGATCGAATTTAAATATTCATAGAAACCCAAATCATTCTCCGGTTCGAATAATTCATCTGTTGCTTTTTCTGTTTTTTCTATGAATTTTAATAATTTGATTAATAAATCTTCATCAGGAAGAATTATTGCTGCATTTGTGATAAAATTCCATATTGAGGTAATATGGCAATAATTACATTTATAAAATGTAATTTTATCCAAAATTTTTTGGCAAATTCGCATAATAGCATTAATATTTGAAGCTGAGATTAAACCTGTGATTACTTCTGTAACTTTTGGAAAATCATCGCAATTTAATATCTCTTTATATTGAATTGAGAAATAAAAAAAAATCAAATGGATTCATTTCTTCAATTTCAAGGAGATTGTAAAAATTGATAGAAGTGTTATTGCAACAAATTGTATTTGCAGCAAAAAATATCATTTGCTCGATTCCATTTTTGGAATAAATTTGCTGGAACAATGTTGAATTAAAACAGTTGCTTAATTTTTCTTCATTGTTTTCATAAAAAAGTAACAAGTTTGCAACTGAAATTTCAAAATTTTGATAATTGCCAGTTATTTCAGTAAATATATATATTTGCTTTTCTTCATCTAAAAATGGCAAATATTGATTTGCAATATTAACTAAAGTTTGGGATAAATTGTTCCAGTTTGATTTTACAATTTGTGAGCACATTATGTAATATGTAAATTTATCCGCTTTGTAGGAATTTAAAATTGTTTGTTGTTCTGTTTCAGTTAAATTACTGAATTTTTCAAGATTAATATTGTGATAAAAAATAGAATCCTTGAAACATTCTGATATCTTTTCAATGTTTAAAACGGATGCTAAAAAATGTAAAAGAACTTCATCAGTCACTGTGATTTTTTTGAAAAATTTATCCCAATTCAAGCATCCAATTGATCTTTCTGTCATTGTACTTATGCATTGATAAAGTTGATTTAATGAATCCGAAGAATAATCATTATGCTTGACTAGTTGAGTTAGTTGATACAGACTGTCGTCAGCCATTTTAAAAAAATGAATAAAATTGTATAGTAAATTATATTTGTGAAATTTGTGACGCTACATTCAATCTAAGACCAATATCTCAAAGAATTCCTCATTTAAGTATTACTTTTCATTGTTTTTTAAAAAATATCTTTGCTTATTTGTTCACTTTTTTGACATTTATTATATGCTTTTTATCATATTTCCGATGATATGAATATATATTCTATATAAGAATGAC